AGTTCATTGTTGTTCAACAATGTCTTCTAAAAAGTGACTTTTGATCTTTCTGATACTGATTAGATCCGAAGTTCCATTGTCCCATTGTTGCGAAAAACACAACAGACATGGACGTCCCAACGAGGTGGTGTTCGTTCACGCTAAAGCGGGAATCGATTCATATGACTCGATCCTACTCACATTTCAAACTATGAAATTTACGCGACGCTGGGAGTACTGGTCGGTTTTCTTTTACTCCAGCTGTTACTTTCAAGACATAAAGAAAGATATGAACATTTTTCACTCTGAATCCAATTCTTTAACAATGATACCGAAGCACTAGCGCCACTCATGCTCTGTTGAGACAGCTAGAAGCCACGTCATTTTTGACCGGGGCGGCTCTGGAACATGGGCGGGCGCGAATCAGGGCGGAGGCTTCCAGATCGAGAAAATATTAATTTTAAAAAAAGGGTGTGGACACGACCGATGTTCAGTTTAAAGTTCTAAATGTATTTTCATTTCTTCTTTTGTGGGACGATTCTTACTGGTGGTGAGTGTGACCGAAAATGTATGCAGAGATCTCAATCAACACATCCCCCGTCTCTCTAATATCCTCTCGGCTCCACTACCGTGTGGCTTCACAGACACCCGCCCTGTATACGAGCGACATAAGACCGGCCATGTCACGCTGAAGGACCACCTGAAACGAACGGAATTAAGAGACCGCTCTTGAAGACATTTTGGATGTACAGGTAACACGCCACATCATTTTGTGACTTCAAGGACTCTGAAAAAAAACACTGTCCTGTCCTCCTTCTTTCTTACATTGCACGAACAAATTGCACAATTTCAATTATTATTAGCACTTACACTCTTCTATTGCCGTGTACACGACCTTTATTAATGCAGTAGTGGTATCACTGCATGTTTCCGTCTTACTAGGTCATCTTCAGGTGCTTCACCTAAATTTCGAACGGTCTTAAATACCATACTAGAACCAAGGCGTAGGAAGTACTGTAGTATCTGTACTATTGACTGTGTTTCCTAGAATGATACCAGAAGACAAGGGATGAAAAATCAGGCAAGAACACGCCTTCCCCAGGTTCAATACAGAGGAATGCAGTAAAATTTATGTCGCCCAAGCCACTAGAGAATTCTCAAAAGAAAGAAAAAAAACAAGAGGCTATGGGAAAGGAGTCAGAATAGAGAAAGATGATCCTACATGCAAATAAATAAAGGCAAGTATGGTTGCTATAGAAGAAGGGAGAACAGTAAGAATAGAAGCTAAGACAGATGTTGCGGCCGGTTTTCGAACGTGTGTCTGTGGAAGAAGCAGCAGCTTCTGGTAGCCTAGCAGCAGAGGGTTTATGTCACTACAGTCTCCTTGCCAACAAACGGACATACCGTACATCGTCCTGTGGCAAGGGGCAGCGTTTACTGCGTTTTGTTACGCTCGTATTTCCAGTTCAACTCTCATCCTATGATTTTCACACGGAGACGCTAAACAGTTGAGCTGTCTACACTGCATCACGAAACTGAGCACATTACAGAACTGTAATTGCTATGCATATTATTATAAATGCCGGTCATGTAAGAAGGATCTTGACCGAGTTTCTCGGTGTTCCTCGGCATGTCGAGGCGAATTCTATAAAAAAAATAGCAACCAATGAAACGGGACAGAAAATGATTGCTTCTTTCTAAATTCTTGATTTCGCTGCTTTAAAATATGTAGTCCAAAAATAAAACTTTAATTAATTTCCTAAAAATCAGTGCTCCGTGTACTCTTCTTTCGTTATTCCGTTATTTTACGACGCTGTTATTACACTCTGAGGTAAGATGACTACGAATGATGATGATTCGCGTCAAAGAAGTCATGGCTATTTAAGGCATTATCTGATAAATATCCGGAGATCACGAGTTCGACTCTATTTGGACTAAAGTTTTCCGTGATTTTCACCAGTTAATTTAGTCAAGCAACGAGTTGTTATTTGACCATATTCATACTTCAAAATCATCCTTCGATTCAACGTTATATAATTTAATTATTTAGCTTTGATAACACCTTGTGGTTCTCGTGTTGGAAACGTTTCAACACATAACCAAATATTTAGCTCCAACTTTCGGCAACATTTGATAACACTTACAGTATCCAACACTATTTCATAATCATAATTTCAATAGAGTACAAGTTCCGGATATTTCCTTTCTTTACATTTCACACATTCTTCATAATTCAGAAGTTTCCTACTAATCACTAATCCTCCCATAACCCGTCATCAAAACTGCGATCAAGGGATCTGCAGAACCAAAAAAACTGCCATGCGGTGTGATGGCTTCAAACTAACGATTCCCCGGTTAAGAATGGCTTTCCTCGTCTCCTCCGAGTCAACGCTGGTACAGGTAAATGTGTACGTTTTAAATATACCACTGATCGTCCGCCCAATTAATTATTTCGAAGTACCTTGTTTCTCTTTCTACATTGTGTGACTTTCGCAGCTGACATAACATCGCTAAATAAACAGACAGCAAGACGCAGACCGTTGATTCCAGCCTTTTGTCTAATGAGTAGCAAGGACTCTTTTCCCAGAAGATAAATACGGCCCAAGCGTGAAGACGTCAATCTGGTCTGCCCGTACGTTCACTATAAAACATTGCTGAATGGCTCTTAGGCGCAGGGATACATTCAGCTTTTACAGTTTCAATGCTCAGAAGATTGCACGTGTTTTAGTGAAACCAGAAGGTACGCAAACGCTGCAGAAGGTAGTCATGTAAGTGACATTACGGCATGTCCCTATGCTGGCAGTTTACGACCCAGGCTCAAGCCACGTTACAAGAGAACTGCCAACTGAGCGGTGCCTTTGAGATGCTTACCAACATTGCAGTAGTGCTACACCGTCACTAGAAAGAACGCTATACAGGACTGGCATTTAGCCATATCTCAAGGAAAGTAAAGCCACATCTCTCGCATAAAAAACAGAAAATTAGCAGTGGTAATAAGAATAGACTTTTAACAGGCCAGTCCGTATCTTTCGTGGAGGATTTAGTTGATGTCGCTTTAATAACAACGTTAAAATAAATACAGATGCCTCGACATGCAAAGTATGGACGAGGTAGATTAATCTTGGCCATGTTTTCGAGAGATACAAAAGATCCACAGATGAGTAGTTCAGTTATAAACAATAAAGGCAAATGTCTCAGTAAATATTTTAAAACTCGGAATTTTTGTTTGCAGCGTGCTTTGTATTTTGTGCAGTGTTTTGTGTTTTTATGTTCGTCATCACAGTGGTGAGTTTCGATTTGAGCTTCATGTGACATAGGAATAACTTTGAACCTGTAAGAACCAAAATTAATTTCGTCCGGTAATCTGCCATGTTTTTGCCTCGAAATAACAAATTGCGTCAATATCCACACAGTGATTTTGAAGCCGTAATTTGCGAAAAGACAAGGTCTCCTTATTATGTGTTCACTCTATAGGTTATACTTCGTGCACACTCGTAAAAACTCTGACGAAATAGCACAACCAATTAAAATATAAAATTGTGTATCCAGTAATTTGTTAATTAGACATCGACCCTGTTTAATAACTGTGCATTTTGAACGACTATCATGAGTAGTCTGGTAAATGCAATGTATCAAGGGTGGAAAATGTGACTAACATGACAGATAATGCGAATAGCTTAACTTGGATATCTGTGAGATAGCACAATACACAATACGGTGGATTTATTGTGTATACATTCGTTCTTACAGTTTAATTATTAGGCCTACAAGGAAATTAAACAACAGCCGAACGTGTTCTGGCGGCATGACGTCTTAACTGGAATGTGTTTTGTCCTTCGTCATGTACGATAGAATATCATAAGCTTCACTGCCTAAACTGGGTACACTAAGGACCTAGACCCTTTTTGTTGACTGGGCGGCAAGCAAAGAAGAATTTGTATAGTTGGGAAAGAACAGAATTGTGTACTAGGAGCAAAATAACTGGACAAAATGGAAAGCCTGATATGGGCAACAGAATTAAACAGAAGTTTAATATGTTTGGATAGGTTTTAATCCTTCATTTTTGTCGTATGCCTTATTAATCAATTACAAACCAGAAACAACCCTCATTACTTACTATTTAGATTTGCTACTAGTTGAATAAATATGATGTTGATTATATTCGTATTTCTGAAAGCGTAAACGAGAAGATCTGGTTGGAAGTGAATATACATTTTTGACGTAAATACGTCTATACGGAAGGGTCATTCGGCAAAAAAAGCGTAACGAAGATGTGTAAGATCCATATCAACAATGTGTAAATTTTGACCGACGTCAATGGTCAGCTTTTATATGAACTCCTGCGTGCATTGTTGTGTTTCATTACTGCCGTCAACAATCCGCTTTCGTTATTGCGGAAAGAGCTGAGCTGTGAATCGCTTGTAGAAGAAGTGCATCGTAGAGTAGTTATTATTGTGCTGTTAAAAACGTTATAGAATATCACAAGTACTTATCTTATATAAGAATTATTACATTTCATCACATTACATTACAGAGACGTATTTACGTCAGATTCTCCGGAACCGAGGTTCCACTGTCAACTTTCTTTTTCGTTTAAAACTTAGGGTTATTGCAAGTAATGAATTAACTATTTCAGAGTTATCTAGCAAATCACACTTTACTGCTCATTTCCGAACTGCATAATGTGCGAGAAGACTTACATACGATTGCAGTATTTCGTCTCGCCGTCAGACAAGACTAACTTCACTTTGTCTTTCAGGAAGATATTTCAGATTCACACGGCCGCGAGAATAAAAAAGGCTGTCTTCTAGGATGTTGCGCCGTGTAGTCTGGTAGAAGTTTTCTGACGTTTCAGAGGTGCTTGCTGCTTCCAACATAATGGAGGTAGCAAGCACCTCTGAATAAACTTCTACTAGACCACGTCGCAAGAAACCGGAAGGCAGCCAACTTCATACAAACCGCCGTAAAAACCCGAACGGTCATTATTCCAGAATGCTTGAACATGACGTTAGAGGTCAACACGTTCCGTGGTTGTGTTTTAATACTCACCACGATACAAGCGCAGCCACTCTGTGCATATCGATACTACGTGTTCGTTGAGAAACGAATGTTGTCGATGTCAACATAGAAACGAAATCATGATAGTGATAAGTGATAAACTAAACTAAGCCAACGCTCTTGATATTATACATCTGGGGGGTAAAATTCGTTAATTTTCTGTGTTCATAGCTGTCGACGCACGGAGGACTTGTAGCTGTCATTCCTTTTTGTGTCACAGCCCAGCTATGGCTGAAGAAAGGTAAACAAGTAAGGTTAAAACAGTAGAAATAACTATTTTAAGCAAAGCCCCATGAACGAATACTTTTGGGGTATATGGTTCAAAACAAAATATCTTCCTTGTGTATGCGATTCAGTCTTACAAAAAAAGGCCCCAAAAAGCACAAATATAAAGTGAACATTATGGATGAAACTACAAGAAAAATGTAAAGTTGACAACATATGGTTTTTTCATAAGTGTGCTAGGTGGTATGAAGAACTCTTTAGTGCGGTAAAGTGTAAATAACTATCTTTTTTGCAACATACTATGTTAAAAGTGATGTATGATGGTTTCAGAATACCTTCCAGTTGTTGTCTATAGTACTTTGTGTGCATCTGTTTTCAGTGTCAAATTAACTAAGATACTACATATTTAGACTGCACTCTGGCAATTCACACCAGTTTAATTTAAATGTGCTTTATATATAATGTTGTAATACATCAAGTACGACAATGAACATTTAATTTTACTACAGTCTGCTGAATGGCTCCATCTGTGTCAGATTGTTATATACCTTAGTATCATAATTTAAGAATGTCTTAATAGCAGTTAAGAGGCATGTATTGTTATGTGTATTCATATTAAATTTGTCTGTTTCAGAGAGGGAGGTTGGTTGGATTCATGGTATAAGGCTGCAAAGAATAAGGTACCTACTGTGTTTAAATTAACGCTTATCTACGTTGATATGCCACAACAGGAGTTGTTGACTTATTTTCCATTATCTTAAACTTAATTTTGCAGTGGTTTTCTTTAAACCATTCTTTTTCCAGAAGACCTTTGCAAAGTCTTCTTAAATGTGTTTTCTGTCTTGTCCATTGCACATTGCTGGAGCTTTCTTTTTGTCCCATTGTGTCCAGCAATGTAATTAACTTCTATCTAGTGATGAGGTTGAGAATGTGTGAAGCTATACCTCCACTTCCACATATTTCATAATAGTATGCTGTTTAAACTTAGAGACACCTTCATCTTACATCTACTTAGCCATTTCTTGTCCCCTTGGGTTGTTCATAGAGCCAACAAAACTGTTTCATCAGCTTGATAAAACAGATATTGCATTTATAGTTGCTGCTCTTATATCATGTGTCCATAATGTTTACATTATATTTTTATATATAAGGATTAAACTATTTGTATTAAATCTCTTGTGTTTCTGCCTGCAGTCTGTTGAGGTCCTGCAGTTTGTGAAACGTGACCTGGATGAATTTTCTACCGCAGTTAAGAGTGAGGCTAGTAATGTTGTCAGTTCTACAACATCAGCTCTGAAGGACAAATTAAGAGTAAGATTAATCTCGTGTTTTCCAAATCAAGCATGCTCAAGGGTTTGTAGAAATTGACACGGCTCTCACTCAAAAGCTAAAGTTATGTGTAGAAATTAAATTCTTCTTCTTCTTCATTGTATTATAAACTCCATGTTGTGCCTCAGTTCCAAAATATAGTATTTGCTTTTTTCATTACTTTCATTCTCAGCTAGACGAACCAGAATCAACGGCAAACACTATGAAGAGGAGTGTATCATCATTTTTTGGGCAGGTCAGCAGTGTACTGAACCCATCACCTGAAGATGAGGATGAAGAGGCAATTGTCATTCATGACTCCCAACCTGTAGTGCTCACAAAATACCAGGTGATGCTCGTCGAGTGATAAATTTGTTCGTATGAGCAAAAATCCTAACCTCCTGTGATTCTCATAACATAAGTGAGAAAATGTTACAACAGAAATCGGTAAATACTTTCTTCTAGATGCTGCAGCGTGCGCTCGTCGCCAATCCTGACACATTCCTGTTTGATCCAGATAAGAAATATGAACAGCAGTATGAAGCTTGGTTAGAAATTATTGAAGATCAGCTGACTGCAGACAGACTGTCAAAAATGATGACTGCTAACCCAGATTTACATTCCCAGTACACAGCTTTGGTCCCAGATCAGGTAATGCTTGCTTTTTGTTCATAAGTTTCAAGTGCTTCTAGAACTCAGAATATGACATTCATTATACAGCTTTTTAAAGGTTTAATTAGGTAGTCTAATGAAACAAATTAGTTATTTTGTTAGAAAAATGCGAGTTACTGAAATAAATTTCATATTACGTGCCACTGGAGCAAATTCAAAATGACGTATTCTAATTGCAAGGAATATTTTGACAGGTATCACACCTAGAATTCTGGCAGCGTTATTTATTCCGTAAAGCATTACTGGAAGATGAAGAAGCTAGAAAGGAGGCTACGGAACGAAGAGCTGAGAAGGAGAGACAGGTGGCTGAGAATTTTCAGTGGGAACAAGGTAATCTGTCTGGTCAGGAAGCAAGTTATTTACTAAACATGCTTAAATCAGTAATTCCCTGAATTATAGGGTTGCCAGAAGGTTTACTATTGATGATCATCTTACATCCTCTATCGTTACTCATACGGAGTGCATGTCCAAACCATTATATTTCATTCTTACATATTTCATCTTACATCCTCTATCGTCACTCATACGGAGTGCATGTCCAAGCCATTATATTTCATTCTTACATATGCTAATTATGGATAGTGAAAGGTCCAAAAAAAAAAAATGTATGTGCTGGGCGGAGCAGGAAGATTTTGTATTTGGCAATTTCTGGAAAGTGTGCTGCAAACATAATACTTTGTTTCTGGTTACGTTTCAGAAGATGACTTTGGTACCAACATCGAATTGACTGAAGAGGAACAAACAAGACTGTTGCTCGAATATGAAAGGGAATGTGAGAGCAAGAAATTACTGCGAAGTAACTCAGAAAGGAACAGTAGGGAAGATGCTATGATGTCAGCATGTGGTGTAAGAGGCAATCAGCACTCCTCTTTCATCTGTGAGAGCAGATCGGAACCATCCATAGCATCTAAGATGGACGGTTGTCAGATGACCACAAGTGATAAAGCAACCAGCAAACAAGAAAACTTGAACAGAGATGGGCAAAAAGGAGAACTTATGACAGGCGATGAATCAGTTCTCTTTAAAACAAAGGAGAAGAAGGATATGGTTATTGTCACTGATGGAAATAGCTGTCACACCTCGTCCAGCTCAGGCGACAAAGGTACTATAACATAAATACCAATTTAGATAATTATAATCTGGGTGTTGTTTGTTTTAATGAGAAACTAAACAAGATTATGAAAGAATTGATCAGAACTCTCTCAATAAGGCTGCATGTGTCTGTCCAGAAATTAATATTGTAGACACTAATTGACATAAAAGAAGAGGTGATAATAGGACACCCTGTCTTGGTATTATCGTGACGGAAATAACCCTAACAATCAGCCAGATTTTCAAATTTGAGAGTGTAGGACGATATTGCTGCTCGCAAATAATCGTCGAGATGGGCATTAGTAAGTAGAGATCTGCGCTTTGATTTTATAATGTTCATGGTTGAACGGCCTTCATTATTCAGTATAACCTCTTTCCGTATCAATGCGGGCACCCAAAAAAAGCCTTGGCGGGCGCCATGGCACCTGCAGGCACCGCGTTGGGGACCACTGATGTAGGGTCTTAACATTTTGTATTGTGATATATTTTTAAAATTATGCAGTGTTCATTCAGATAGCTTTATTGGAGATTTAGAAATAACATAGTGATTGCTCCAAATATAATACCCCATGAATCATTATGAAATTTTCATGGTTAACACATTATTAACATCAGTTGTATTAAAATATACAATGTTTAATTCTTCAGAATTCTAAAATGCAGCACGCCAATGGAATACTTTTCTTTCAGTTGATAAAAAGACAGTTTTATTTAAGTCGGTGATTCCTGCGATTATTAAGCCACGTTCATAATAAGAGTCACATAAACAGAACAATGTGGTGATATGAACTTGGTTATGTTTTGTTACAGAAAGCAATTATGATGACTGGGAACGAGAATTTGACCTAGAAGACGCAGAAGTGGACACATTGACTGAACAGCTAACTGATATAGCAAAAGCATAATGACCCTGAATGAGTGACTTGGTTACTGTTACACTGTAATTGGAATAAAAGCTCATGCAGTTGATGCATTACTGTTGTTTTAAGGTATGGCCCACAGATTGTTTGAAGGACCAAGTATCACGCAAGGTAGATGGGTTATTTGCTCTTTCGTCTTATGTGGTATAAATATTGAATACTTTGTGCCTGGCCTGTCCTGACAGTAGGCAAGATGCAATTTAGAATGGAGAGAAAAGTTTTGTTGGACACAAATGTTACGAAGTTAGTGCAGTCTCTCTTCTATTGGCCTAAAGCCTTTTCTGTTATGAAGCAGAAATTAACCACATAGAAATGCGAAACATTATTAACTGATGTAATTTAGTAATAAACTCCACTACCCGTCATTAACTTACCAGATTTGTTCAGATTGACATACTGATTTGATATTATCACTTTTGAATGACATGGTGTAAACTTGTAGCCTTTACGTTCTTCAAGAGAATAAATTAATTTAGCCATATTTGTAGAAAATGGATTTTAATGTAAAAGAAATGACAGTGGACTTGAATGACCTTGAAATAATAGCCAAAATACAGTGTTTTTTCCCCTCCTCCCCGTTCTTGAATTTGACTGTCTGTTCTCCACCAGTCTCCTGGTATCATGCCTTAACACCAGCAACGTATTCACAAACTTCTCATTGAGTAATTTTCGGATTTTTTAATACTGGTCCAGTGTTTTATATCATCATCAGTGTTAAACTGTCTGTCAGTAACAGTTGGAAATGGACGCATTATGACTAATTTTTTGTCTTCACACTCCCTTTCCCAAGAATTTAGAATCGCACAATTCTACTTTATATAGAAGTTGCATTCTGTGTTGTATTTTCTTCTTTATTTTTCAATAACTTTCTAATGTCATTGTTTAATAAGATTTCCAAATTTATATCGATTTGAAATTGAAATTTAAGTCAGATGTTAGTAATCTTTTATGTACAGCTTAGCATGTGTCACTTTCAAGATGAATGTGATTGGATGATCATTTTGACTTTACATATTTTTTATCTACTGTAAGTAAGAGAGTCAATAAAACTTTATTTCTGAAGAATATTGATGGAGTTGTTAGTCCAGCAATAGTTAAATAAGAGCCTGTACTTCTGTCCTCTCTGTTATATGATTTGCTCTTGTGGTACATTGTGAATATGAAACCACCATAAATAAAAGGCCAGAACCATTTTTGTCAAATTGTGCAAAATTAAATAGCAGCAAATGTAAGGTTCCAAAGCGTTGTTATGAAGTTACGTGGGGGATGTAGGTAAAGCTCCGTATACAACTCAAAAGTATTCTTGACCTCAACAGTACATACTTGGTTTTATTTTTCCAGAATTTCTATTGGTTGCAGCACATTTTATTGCAAAATGCATGTTTTCAGGAATATGTTTTGGTTGCCGATGATCTGTTTGCAAACAAAATTATCATCAGACAGAAATATACAATTTCTATCGTACTGTGATATTTATATAGAGACACCAAACAAACAGTTCTCAAGGAAATTTACCTTGACCACATTCAATTTAATGTAACTTTCTGATGCGGACATACAAATCTTCAAATCACTGGGCGTATAAAAAAGTATACTAGGGTATGTGGGGAAAATAAAATTTTCAAGACGAGAATGAACCTTGATAACATCTTAAATCTTCCTTCTTCTCACATTACACATATTATCCATAAAAATGGCTAGTCGCTGCAGTAGAGATTCGCTGTACTTCTCAGTTTTATGGAAAAATTACTGTGTATATATACGGCCTGTATTTTGCAGAAATGTAACCATTAGATGAGTAACGAGTTCAGTTATAAATGTGTGGGGTATAAAATTTCATAAAAAGGAATAAAGTTTATCGATCTGATATGTAACATGAAATGGTAGCAGCAGAATTTAAATTAAACTTCTCACAGTATCAACAAGATAAGTGCAGAATTTAGAATACTGCATGAATTGTATGGGTTACCAGGCATAGAGAGGATAGTGAAATCCGATGATATGGACGGATAGTGAAATCTAGGAGGCTCCGATGATATGGATATGTAGCACACAAGGGGTTCACACAGAATTTTGGTGGGGAATCCTTCTGGAAAACGACCACTGGGCAGAGCAAGAAGCAGATGGGAGGATAACATCAAGATGGATCTTAGGGAGGTGGACTGTGAGGATGGCAAATGGATGGTGTTGGCTCAGGATTGTGGCTGGTGGCAGGCTTTGGTGTTGTCAGTGTTGAACCTGCGGGTTCTGCTACCAGGGAGTTAGTTACAGTGTCAACAAGAAGCCTACCAGACAAAGCTGTCTACGTTATTTGAATCTAAAAGCATTCCAACTGTTACTTCAGCTGTTACAACATTTATTGCAGTATTTTATTAAGTAATGAAGACAAACACAGAACAGTCACTCAGTCAGGGACAAGGTGGAATATAATTATGAAAAATCACTGATACCCCAAAATCTAATTCAGTTATAACCAAACACTTCATTCGCTGAAGAGAGAGTTATCTTTAATAGCTTTTGTTTCATGATATGTACATGATTAGTAATTAATTATGTTATTTAAGTTTCATAGTGTAGGGGTCCGCAGTGGCCGTGCGGTCTGAGGCGTGGGCCCTGTGCCGCTTGATCGCGGGGACCGTGGGTTCGAATCCCACTCAAGCCATGGATGGTTTTCTGTGTTGTGCTGTCCTGCGTACAGGTAGAGGCCTTGCGATGGGCCGATCCCTCGTCCAAGGAGTCCTACCGAAAGTCTATAGAACAAGCCAACGAAAAGTTGGGGACCCGTAAAGGGTACCGGAAAATGTACAAACATTGTTAAACCGGAAAAAGAAGAAGTTTCATAGTGTTATGTTAGGATTATTCCCCGTGTATGTTAAAGTAAGATTATTTTTGGTCAGTTGTAGTGCCAATGTTAAGGCTGTATTTTTGAAAGGTGTGTTATGTTCTTAAGGACAAGTTTTATAGTTTTGCAATTTATAGTTGTAGTATATGAAGATTCAGTTTTTAAAGAGTAAATAAAATCTGTTGACAATGTTGAATTCAAGAATCTGCACTTGTTGATCACACGTGATTCTAGTCTCTCTTTAATGCCAAGGTCTAAATAATCACCACCTGATATTTATTATTGATACAGTGACATAAACGAGAGAACCAAATTTCAGTTTTGAAAGTTTAAGTACAATACTTGGTTCGCAAGAATGAATACTTGAATTTGATGTATGTCTTTGAGACAGAATTGGTACATATTTGTATAATGGTTGAATAAATAAAAGTTACTATAAATTTATTATAAAAAAGGTTCTTTTTTTCTCAAGTGTCATTTTAATAAAAGTGACGATATCATAACAACCTCCATTTTTAGAAATTATTCTATCAAAATTGAACATGAAAATGTTGCTTGTGAGGTGTTTATTGATCGAAGAGAACAAATACAGTGATCTTCACAATTAATAAACCAAGGCAGGAAGTGTTCATGTTTAAGGATATGAAAGGCACATTGATACGTGCACCTGCTGCTTATATGGGTGGTCACAGATTTCATTCTTGGTCAGGAGGTCAGTTATCCCGTCCGAGGGTTTTTGTGATTTTCCTCATATCCTCCAGACAAATTGGATTAGTACCTAAAATGAGCCATGGCCACTTCCCTTCACGTCTTTCTCAATTCATCATTCATAATAATTTTGCCTTTCATTACCATGCAGTTGAGAAAGTGTCAAATTGATCAAAATCTCCAGACCTGCTGCATTTCCTTTAGGAGTTCTTTGTCCACGATCGTTTGAGTCATACTTCTTCTATCCATGAGGTCTATAAGTGGCCTAGGAAACCGTCAAAAACATGAGACCCGCAACCATTTTATTCGGCCCCTTCGTCAGATTTTGGAATTAACCGATGTGAGAAGGGCAAACATTTTCTGCGACTGAGAACACCGACGTACAAATATATGCATCATCTAAGAGTTTAGAGCAAACAATCGCCAAAAATATTTTAATTAAACAGAAATTCTGTAATATAACGTTAAAAACGCGTTACTATGCAAAGGTTCATCGTTGCGTTGTTCAACGGATACGAAATTTAGCAACAAAATTAAAAATGTGATATTAATAATAGAAGATTTATACAATTGACAATGACTTGAAATCAAAACTGTTTAAAAGCTAACAAAAAAACACCTTTAAAATAAACTTAACTTGGAAGGAGAAATCAGCTATAATCTGTTTTCAATTCCATAACAACTATCGGCTAATTTTTAAATTGAGGAAATACAGATTCCTTTATTGTCCACGAAATTTTTGCGGATCTCGACAAATATATGAATGAATTGCCAATGCAGCCCGTGGTAATGGCCCCTAATCCGTATTACACAGGGGTTATCAACCCGCGGGTCGCATGCGGCCTGCTTACATTTAATATTGCCACTCAAGGATGAAAAATTGTTGACATCAGGAAACACGCTTTCTTAACATCGCCAGTTCTTGCAGCTGTGAACTACTGCAGAGCTTAATGAAGAACGTCTGATCGTGAACTAGTTCGCATCTTATTAATGGAAACTTGGAGAGATGCATGCAAATCGCAACAGAATCAAGCAATCATCTAACTAATGATTTAGCTTGTTAAAGAAAATTATTGATTAATATGCCAAGTGAACTTGTTTGCGCCATTTGGTAGCATTTCAATCAACTCTGCCATAGCGTTACAATAAACTGACGTAATTTACAACTTTGCGGGACGTAAATCGATAAGCAAGAGTGAATGCGTCCCTAGGTCTGCAAAACGTTGAGAACCACTGATATTTTTTGTTATACCACCGATTTTCATTGTATTCTATTCTCAGTTGAATACAAATTCAATATGAAACTTGAAGTTACAAAACATGTGACGATGGACAGAGTCCAAAAACCCAACAATTCAGATTGTCAGAAACCTTCAGAATCGAAAAATCTTATATCTAAGCACACCCTTCCCTGTCTTGTCAATTTTTCTTCAAAATGTCGTGCATTCAGGTTAATTATCCTTTACCGAATTAATTCACCATCGTCTCAAACGAAGGCAGTAAAAGCTCGGATCATTGGATACGTAAATTGGAGGGTAGAGGTGTAAGCCGATTGGGGAGGAATACAGTTACTAATTCATGAAGACAAACACAAGCGCCATTTCAAAAACATGCAGTCCATTGCCACCACCGCCTTCTACAACTCGATTTGAGGCTTCAATCAGTCATTTTCTGAATCATTAAATGTTTCCTAACACATACGCAAACGTCACAGAAATTTAAATATCTCCGATAAAATAATTTTAAAATTAACATGGGTCATGTTCTGAAACACGTTCTCTGTAACTTAGGATCGTAAAGCTTCCTTTACGTTTCTGAATTGTAGGTCTTTTCACTCCCTGCTCCTTACCCGCCTTGGCTATACGAGATATAAGGTTCTCACGGCGGTGAAGACATCGGGTTGTAACGCCGTGAAGATTTTCTGATATTACAAGTGCTGTTGAACTTTCTGGTGCTTTTGCCAGTGTTTAATTCCACGGAGCAGAATGCTTCTTGACAAACTGACAGTTCACTCAGCTAGCCAAGAAATTTCTTACCGTGTTCAAAGCAGCCTGCCATCAAACCCTATAATGTGCCAGATTAATCCAGTCCATACCCTCGCCCTGTTTCACTAAGATCAACTCTAATATTATTCTCCCATCCCAGAGGCTTCTTCCATTCAGACGTCCTAGCCAAAAGTTTATACATAATTCTCATCCCTCATGCACACTACATGACCCGCCCATCTAATCTTCCTTCATCATCGTAATGATTTAGATTTTGCACCTGGCAATACCGCAGCCTTGTTAATTGGGTGGCTTATAAAATGAACTACGGACATGAATATGGCTGTCTCTGGGTTGTTCCAGTGGTGCTTGCTGCCTCCATAATCAGGCGATAACCCAGAAGACAGTCATCTTCATAATCGCCGCCATGAGAACCTGAAATCAAGTCCCTTCCTTTCACTAATTTCAGGAAACAGATGAAGAACAACAATTACAGTAATTAAACAAAACGAACAAGCAGCTTTAACCATGGTTGGTTCTGTATTTTACCACATCTGTATGAAGCGATGAAGGGGTGTGGCGCTGTGATCTGTTGCACTCCCTCTCTCTCTCCTGGTGGCAGACCACCCCCCTCGCTCCATGGTATCGGATTGATCCGTAGTACAACGGCCCCAGTCCGGAGTCTGTGGGATGGACCATTTACCTCACACTGCACAGCGTCTCAAGCTACATTAGTGGGAGCATTGGGTGAATCAAGCAACAGGATTTTCGACTCCGTACTGACCGCAAGTGCTGATATACATTTCTTTTCGTTTACACTGCGCGATCGGCCGTAATAATCAGGGCTTTCATATTCAGTAACACAAAAATGGCGTGACACCATTTCGGATGTAAAAGCAAATATTTTGTGCGTCTGTGTACGTGTTTATGTAATTAATGGTTGAAGCGATAAAAGATTGGTTATTTCCAAAATAAAATTCGAACAAAGATGAAATACGTAGTTCTCACATATGAACTGGTTTATGAACATGCTTGGTTTTTTATGAAAGGATTAATCTGTTTGAAGAATCAAGTATGGCGGTACTAAATGTATTTCTTTCAGTAATACTAATTGTTTTCGAATTAGACTCGGGTAAAAGGAACTCAGTTCGAATCCTGTGAAACAAATCTGTGATATAGTAAACATATAAACAAATAAACAGAGATACTGATTCGAGTTTCTGCCATATGCATAAATAGATTATATCTAAAAAGTACGAAAATTTATTATTGATTTTATAATTTTCGATAGCACTTGTTATAAATAAGTCCGTTCAAGTTAATTATATTGTAAAAATTAAGGCTTGTCCGCATGTAAAGCTACAATATTGCACAAGCAAATAATTGTGACATGATTTTACATGATAATTGAAATAGATTAATTACCGTAGCGCATAAATATTTATATAAGGTCAGAGGTGCAGGGAGATTTAAATTGTAGGTGAAGTACATATAAAATACTTCAAAAGCACGCGCTCCTCTCCTTAAAACAAAAACAAAAAATGGCAACCTTCGGAAGATTTACTGTTCCCCCACTCAGGGCAACCCTTAATGTAGCTTGGGAGACATTTAAAGCTACTTTGCCAGACAGTAGCCCATGCTTTGAGGTGGTCCGAAAAGCAACTGGAGGTGGCGGTGGGACACGACACAGAGAACCTGGCGAACATGTGAGGTTTGCACAATTCGGGGGAGAGGGCCATCAAAGGCTTGGGGAAAGCACCGAACTGTCAACAATGCCAGGAGAAGGTGGCAACTATGATGGGGCTGAAGCAGGAATTGCTGAAGACGGCTTCATCGAAAGGCAACAGAGCTACCAACACGCTCGTGGCGATGGCAGCCTAACCAGTGTGGACTTCGGGAGTGATAATGGAGGCGGAGGGGAATTCGGCGAAGGACGAAACAAACACAAGATCAACGAATGGCAGGCAGCATGGAACGTTACCAATGCCATCCAGGTACCCCCCCCCCCCCCCAGTAGCATGAGAACTTCTCTTTTGTGCAAATTTGAGACAGAGTGCGTGACTTCGATTTTCTAAAAATTGTTACGAAATCTAGTATGTAGGAATCATTACGATCTGTAACTGTTATTTAAAACGCTGTACGATATGATATATATTTAACAAAGAAGAAGAAATAATGTCTGTGTTACCTGTAGACACACATCAGGCTTTAGAGCTGCTTCTCCTCTAGAAAGCCAGCCTAAAACTGGGGACTGAGGAAAACGTTGTGATTACAACTTTTGTCACATTGCCTACTAAACTAATGTTCCGGTATCGCAGATCTTTGCAATTTATATTCAAATGTGGCGCCGCTTCGTGGCATTGGTGAGGCCAAGTTATTTTCACAAGCCAAAAAAACAAACTCACTATTCTGTCGATATCCCTATATACTAAAATACGCCTTTCTAATTAATTCATTACGAATTTTCACTCATAACACATCTTTACACACATTAATGTAATTCTACAGGCACCTTTATACATTTCAAAACCTCTGTAGACTGATGGCGTGGAAGTGAAGGTGTGTGTGCGTGTCTACATGCACACGTGCAAATGCATTAACTCTCTGCCTGACTTCATGCTGGCAACGGGTTTGCAATCGAATGCGGACGGGCAGATTGGAGCCACTTCGAAGTTATCGCTGGCACAGTAGCAATAAGAATGGTCAAACGCTATCAATTATTAAACGGCCATTTTATAACAAACTGCTGTTACAAGTTGTGATGTAGGCCCCCCACATATTAAATTTCGTTAAAATTAATTGCATGCAACTGGATAAGATATGGCTTATGTTCATTCCCTGGCAGCATTAATACGTAAATTACGTCATAGAAACTTTATAAATTATGTATAGAACGAATGGGTTTGATCAGAAGTGGATACAGAATTCTGGTCGAAAAAACTGAACAGATCATACCACTTTAAAGACCAAAGTCCAAAAGGTAGATGGGAAAAATACAATTAAAATGTGCCTTATAATAAATATGATAGGTGTGGAGTGGACTCATCTGGCTCACAATACGAGCCTCTTGTAAAACCGGCAGTGAATAATCGGGTTCCATAATGGTGGGGAATTTCTTGGTGACTAAGTTCAAGGGTTCTACACTGTGGAGTTAATCTCCATAGACTAACTGTAAAATGTGGGACTTCAAAATTAAGAAACAATAAAATAGTCATTACGAAGAAGAGAACCAGTATCCTCTTGCAGTCAAAGCAGTTAGTATCTTATTAGGTTTTCAGATTCTCACGACGGCGAGTACGAAAATTACTATTATCTGGGATGTTGTATAGTCTGATAGAAATTGACGGACGTTACTGCCTCAGTCTTAAAGGCGGCGATGGAGGCAGTAAGCAGTTCTTAAACGTTGATCAATTCCTACGAGAATACACGGCGCGAAACTCCAAAAGTCAGCGACCTTCAACCCAGCAGCTCATTACAAGCTTCTACATAGCACTGGTGCTATTCAACTGCCACTTGCACCAGAATAATGCCGCATAGTAATGTCTTCTGCACGCGCTGTAAACGTCGCTCACAACGATCTGTTACAAACCCTTATAACCATCGTGTTATTTACAATCATGTTCCTTCGTTCTTAGTTTTTGAGCTAACTGTCTGTGTTCTGTACTAACTTCCAAGAACTTAAGAAGAAATGCACATGAAGCCATTATCTGTAACTCAACATACCTTTTAAGTGTCATCAGCATGCAGTCCAAACCCTTCACTTTTCATTTGCACAAATGTCTACAGAAACATCGCGGCACATACATAATTTATATCACCACACACACAAATATTAATTTGTCATATCTTACGCACTTCGTTTATCATTACACACAACCAGAGGATTATGTCTACCCCTACTTAGCCACGGTCTCAAACTGAGTCACCCCACACTCCTCTCGTGCACGCATGACTTGACATTGCCTACTCTAATCGTCAGAATGGAATCATCCCCTCCTTACTGTTACAGGCCTACGTACAGAAAATAAAATATTAACAACTTTAAATGCTCTTTATTTTGAATGTTATTTTAAAGATACTTATTTTAAGAATCCTCAGACACACGCTATTCTGATCACACAATTTCATAACTAATCATATTATGTTTCCCTGACAAATTTATGTAACCTTGCGCCTATCCATTGGTTCATATATGCTGTGTAAAAATTAGTCCCGTCTCCTACAAATAATTAATCTACATGTTGATGGGCAGTGTCACAAATACTACCTCGAGAACAGTAGTCACTTGAAGTTACTTTTATACCATAACTAATCTAAAAATTACGAATGGGTTTTAATTACTACCTTTCTTGTAGGATTTGCAGTACCCACAACAATGTGACTATAATCTTCTGGGTTTTTTCCGGCCAGATGTATTCGTGCTGTGCCTACATTTCAGATTAACATACTGCCTCCATCATCAGGGCTATTTTCTGGAACTTGAGCCCAGTTTGATTTTGGCTTCTTCTACTGTAGACTTTCTATAACCTCATTCAAAACAGCTATATATCTTTCTTAACAGTGCACCAGTCTATTAAAAGACACTTATTAACATAGAAACACAAAAAAGACCCATGTTATGAGAAAGATTTGAACCTGCGATCCTACAGATCCAATGGTCCAAGGCCATGCACATCTTAGTATTCACGACCACAGACATCAGTAATGAAAAGATTTGTTGCACCTTACCTGAATGGTATTTCATGCTATTCAGAACTTGCGGGGCAATTATATCGTGTGCTGTATACACTAACTAATGCTCTGCCAGCGGAATACCAACCCATTTCAAGCCATCTGACTCCATGGAGCAGCCCTCCTTGAGAACCTAGTCAAGAAATTTCCTTAACCTTAAGGTTAATTACTATGTTCACAAGAGTCCACCACTGGATACTATCCTGACTCAGATGAATCCATTCTGCATCTTATGGCACTTCTTTAACACACCTTTATTATCCTCCCATCTAGCCTAAGTCCCTAAAATAGTCTCTTCCCTTTCAGTTTCCCGGTTAAAATTTTGTATGCATGTCCTCCATGTGTGCTACATGCTTTGTCCATTTCATCCTCCTTCATTTGAGCATACTGTTAATATATGAAGTGTGCAAATTATGAAGCTCCACATTATGCAGTTTTACGAACATTATCGATCATCTGACACTTAAGAAACCAGTTAACTTGGGTCAGCATAGTCACTAGGCTGCAGGCTGAATGACCAGGGTTAAACATGGCACAAGCATAAGAGAATTTTCCTCACTTCTACCACATCCAGACTGTCTTTGGGGTTGATTCATTCTTCCATCCAGTGGATACTGTGAGGCTCGTTCGCTGGGGATAAAAGCAGATGAGGCATGAAGCTGGTCACTCACCTGTAACTAATGCCATGATCAAGAATGAGTGGAGCTATAACTCACTTACATTCACTGAGCACCAGAGACAACTTTATACTTCACCTGCACGCACATCTCCGAAGAGGTTTCTTCAATACAGATTTTCCAAAAAAATTACATATGAATTTATTTCTTACGTTTGCTACATCTTACCTATCTCCTTCATAATCGAACCATTCTAATGACATGAGGTAAAGAGTACAAATTTCAAAACACCTCATTTCTCCATGAACACCCGTGATTATGTGTTTCAGGGTATGTTTATTGTGTCGCTGCCATTTGCCGTTCTGAGAGGTGGATACTGGGCAATAGCAGCCATGATTGGAATTGCATACATCTGCTGCTACACGGGCAAAATCTTAGTTGAATGTCTGTATGAGGAAGATGCTATCACAGGTCAGCGGGTGAGAGTACGAGACTCTTATGTTGCCATTGCACGGGAATGCTTTGGCCCCATTTGGGGTGTACGAGCAGTAAACATTGCTCAGATCATTGAGCTTCTCATGACATGCATCCTGTATGTTGTGGTCTGTGGGGATCTCATGATTGGTACCTTTCCTGAGGGAGCTATTGATTCCCGGAGTTGGATGATGCTCGTTGGAATATTTCTTGTGCCATTAGGTGAGTAAATTTAACATTGTTTTTTTGGGATAGTCATGTAAATTCATAAAATTCATTACCATAGAAATAATTTTCTCACTAATTCAAGTCTTGGCCTATTTTAAATGTATACAGTTTCTAAATTCTGTCCAGATTGAGGTAGGGCTCTTTAGACTGGAGATTGGTGCATCCTCCACAGGTTACCACTAACATATGTGAACATGCATAGCTTCAATCAAATTTTAGCATGGAAATGTAGTATGTGGAATAAAAATCACCATCATAAGCTATGCATATGGTTCCTTGGCATGACAACATTTAAAAGTGCAGTACAAAAAGAATTTTACAGAAATAATTATTATGAGAGAAACTACAGGGTCTCATGGCAGTGAGTATGAATATTAAGATGATTGTTTTCTGAAATGTGCTGCATAGTCTTGTAAAAATTGACTGACACCCTGATGATGAAGGGAGTAAGCCAATTTCTACATGGCATGTAGCTTTAATCCTACCTAGAAGATAAATAAATACCTTTGAAAGTATTTTCAATCAACATTACATCAAAGAAGTGGAATATTGGTTGGCTTATTGGTTTGTTAATGGGTTTAAGTTGAAACAGCATTAGCATCCAAACCAAATCAAGCTTAAAAATTAAACTTAAACTAGCTTAACTACAACTCAGTTTAACTTAATTAGATAGTGTAATTTTGTCCACACTAAATGTAGAAGTTTATGTTACAAAAATTGATTTGTGTGATTCTCCATGTTGCAGGTTTTCTCAAGTCACTACACATGGTGTCTGTGCTGAGCTTCTGGTGCACTATGTCCCATTTAGTCATCAATGCTGTCATTCTTGGCTACTGCCTCCTGGAAATTCCAGAATGGGGCTGGTCCAAAGTCAAGTGGAGCATTGACTTTGAAAACTTCCCCATCTCACTTGGTGTTATCGTCTTCAGCTATACATCACAGATTTTCCTGCCCACACTTGAAGGCAATCTCATTGACCGCTCCAAGTTTGACTGGATGATCAATTGGAGTCACATAGCAGCAGCCACTTTCAAGTCCCTGTTTGGCTACATCTGCTTCCTCACATTCCAGAATGACACCCAACAAGTCATCACAAACAACCTACATTCCCCAGGCTTCAAAGGCTTGGTCAACTTCTTTTTGGTACTAAAGGCTGTGCTCTCCTACCCTCTGCCCTACTATGCATCTTGTGAATTACTGGAAAAGATTTTCTTCAAAGGCAGGCCAGAGACACTATTTCCCACCATCTGGGCTCTTGATGGGGAACTAAAGGTTTGGGGCTTGGCATTTAGGGTTGGGATAGTTGTGGTTACAATTCTCATGGCCATTTCTATCCCTCACTTTACAATTCTAATGGGTTTCATTGGTAGCTTCACTGGTACAATGCTTTCTTTCATATGGCCATGTTACTTCCACCTCAAACTGAAGCGGCTGCAACTTGACTGGGGTACAGTTGCCTACGACTGTTTTGTTATCTTCCTTGGCTGCCTCTTTGGGATCATTGGTGTTTATGACTCAGGTTCTGCTCTCATCAAGGCATTTGAAATTGGATTACCATTCTGAATATACAACATTATCACTCAATACTCAGATCTGTTAATCTGGCACACTGGAATTAGTTTGTAGTTATGGAGGTAGGATAGCAACAAGAGTGAGATGCCACTGGTAAAGTATATAAACCACTGAGAATAAAACATTACAGAAAGCAACTTTAGGTCATGTAGGCATTTAAATGCTGCTTTTAAACCAGGTGCACAATCTGTATGTTGTCCTATAGTGTTATAGGATAGCAATACTATTATTAAGAATATATACTACAGTCAGAAAGAAAGTTCATGATAAATTCAAGTGCCATTGACAATAATAAATATTATCATACTGAAATGGATGCTTGTAAAAGCTGACTTATACAAGAATAAGCTCCCTCTCAAATGAGGTTAGCTTTTTTGTACAAGTCAACTTGTAAATGTGTGTGTGTGTATGTGAAAATATATAAATGCAAGTCTTCCATTTACAAAGAAAATATTGCTGCCAAATTAAGTAAAAAATCAGAAATTAGTAGAAAATTAGTAAAAAGTGATCTCATTAACTGTTAATAAATATTTCATATTTATGAAATGAGTCATGTATTTTAACATGTTGAACAGAATTTTAGTTACCTAAGTCTTCCATCAATATGTCTTCCATTTATAACTGTATTAAATACATAAAAATGTGCTTGCAATACGTTGAAGGAATATAGCTGATCTTAGTTCTGAAACTAAGTCTTCCATGAATGTCTTCCATTTACAGACAGCATCACTGCATCAAATAAAAATACATTTGCAATATGCTGCAGAAACATTTCTTATTACACAGTTGAATTCAGTTCTGAAACAAAGTCTTCTATGAATAAGTCTTCCATCTGCAGGTAACATCAGTCTTAAATAAAAATGCAATTGCTGCATGTTCAAGAAACATATTACAATAATTCTTATCATACAACTGGGAAAATATGAATCAAGCATGTAAAGTAATCGCATAAGTTCATTCATTATGATAGAACACAAAACACTGTTTAATTTATGAATGTAAAGAAATACAATGTTTTACACAAAGTCCTGTATCTATAGGGGAATTATACATTTGGTGATGAGTGAGGTCACATAACTAACAGCCATTCCCTGTTAAACATAAATCCATAAATTCTACTTCTTCCCTGAATAACAAACTGTAGAAATTATATGGATTAATTCAGTCTGTTTTGTCTATTATGCCTTTGTGTGACTACACAGTACTTTGTGAGTGGCAACCTATATGCCATCCTTATATTATAGGACAGTTTTTATTTTATTGCATTTTATAAAGATATTTGAATTATTCCTTGTTAGTCATATGACTACAGAAATGTGTGCTGTATTTTAATCCAATGTCTTCCAATAAACAAGAAGTGTTAAATGTTGAGCTATGTTTCTATATGTTTAATTCAAATCTAAATGATGTGCTGTTGCTATGAGGCTTGAAACATAACATACACAAAACAAGTGGTGAAATATCAGCAAATGTTTCTACTTTTACAACAACAGGAACTAATGTAAACTCCTTTGGCACATCAATTACTAATCTAGTATTTTCCATTATATTTTGATTCCTTAAATAAATTAAATTAAGAATTCTTCTCACTAAGAAGACACAAATTTAATTCAATATATAAATAGTTAAAAAAAATCTAACTAGATGTTGATATTTCAATAATTTTTAGTGAATGTTTGTCCAGAAATCATTATCTGATAAATGCAAAAAGCAATAAATCCTCATAATTAACACATATAGAATCAATTACAGTTCATAAGAACAAGAACCCACCACTAAGGTATGTAGTAGAATTGTTATTAATTGTTGTTATCACTATTATAATACTCCTATTATGGAACTATTGGTAATGTGTGTTTGACTTCTGAAATACAGACACTGGAAAGTGTTTAGGTTGTAGAGGAGCATGAGCTTCTAAACTTGCACATAGTTCATGAGAGTCTACACAGGTTCTGCATTTGTCCAGTAATTTATTTTTTTACATTAACACAATGTAGAATTAATAATGTAACAGCTGCTTTACAAAAGGCATTATCCTTTTCTACTTGGCAACAAAGGACACAGTATAAAAATTAGTCCTCTGAAAGTAAATTTGTAGCTAGGCACAATTTTTAAAGGAAATTTCTTATTGATTTAATAAATAATGTATAGTCTTTGCATGTTATTTTCCTATACACAGGCAATTCTCACTTATACAGCTGCATATTAATTACAGGTCTGTAAAATATATGATGAGCCCATCATATAACTGCACACTTGTTTACTGTCCCAAAGGCAAACAAAAATTAAAAGCACCCTTGCATATTCTTTATAAATAAATTTAATGGTTGTTTAAACAAATATTCCCTTATATTAACCAAGGAAATTATTACAAATAATATGTATATACAATTCCTGTGTAGACAAACATATTTACGTAATGCCATTTTACATGACAGTGGTCTACTAAACCAATGAGAACATGACACACATTTAGAAAATAGCTTATACTGTGTGTACCATACTCAGCTAATTTGAAGACAATGTTAGAAAACAACTATGTGTCATATAATGTATTTCTCACAGTTTATAAGTCAATATTATGGTCCAAATGCATATTAATACATGTAAGTTCTCTGGTACCAAATTATATGTTTGATGTGCAAGTTGTGTATATGTAGGAAAAATGTTGCAATGATTATGTCGATTCAATAGCAGGGTCAAGATGTCTGACACTTCATGCTCAAAAATAGATCTCAGAGCATAAAAGCTATTCATTTGGGTTGGCACTAATTTCATTTTCAATAGAACTCCTACATAAACATTGTACTATTTTAAAACATTTATAATTTAAAAGATAAGATTAACAAAATTAAATTTTTATAATAGTATTAAAATATTTCAGTTATGCTACCCAATTCTGAATATGGACTTCTCAACAAATAGTTTGGATCCTGATGATTCTAGCTTCACAAATTTTGACAATTTGCATAAAAGTAACCTACTAACACTATCTATATTATACACTAATTTGTCTCCATTCAGTTGAATTTATATACTCATTTTAGTACCGTTATTGTTTTCATTCTATTGGCATTGTTAATTCTTCTTATTCTAGCATCATTTGTTATATACAGGTCAGTGAATGACCAGTCTCTCCTATCTTCCCATAATCATTCATTTTTCACTTACAGTATTAAGTATGTGATGATTATGCATTAGCAACTATACAATTAGCATACAATTTAAACTAATTCAAAACTCTGTGAATGGCAAACAATTAATTTAGTGTTTCACGAAGAAAATTCTCCCAACCCACTAATGCCATTTACTGTTTATGAATGTGATCAGCATACAAAAAAAATTAAAAATCTTATGCAAATTATGTACTATATTCTTCTTATACACTAAAGCAATGGTTAAAAAAGTAAACTACTAAAAATTGCCAAATTACATACTTACAGTTTGTTTATACTTCTACAGCTGGAATATTCAGAGATATAAATCATATTGTAAAAAAAAGTAAAACCAAAAACACATACTGGATAATAATTAGGAAAAAGTTAAAATGTAAGAATTAGAATAATTTTCTTTATCCTTCAGTAAAGGATCATAGCAGCATTCACTGTACACCATTACTTGGTATGTAAGGAGGAGTATTTACCTAAATAAAGCAAAGAAAGCTATTTATTTTTTAAGAATTTTGAGGAAATTTGTATTTTGTCAATATTGAAATCAATACCTGGACTTTAAATCATTCTTTGGAACTAGTTCTGTTCATATGAAAGCACCATGATGCACAGGTTGCAATGCATATTTAACTGGGGCATACAGAAAATGTCCATCAATGTTGAAAAGTGAATTGTACTGCTAACAATATTCAATCCCACTTGAGGTAGAAAACATTTCTAGTAAATAATATAGTTTAAATGAAAATAAAATAAAGCAATGTTAATAGTGAATCATTGTGAAACCATCCCTCTCAAGTTTCTCTGAAACTGAAATTCAAATTGCATGCACTGCACGAGACATTTATTTATGAAAACATGTTTCCTCTCATTTTTAGTACTGAAAGAGATCTCAGGATGTGGTGGATGTCACCTTCTCAGTCTTCCATGCAGACATTTAACATTTCTTTACATTTATAACAATGATTAGTTCCTTGAAATGTACTTCTATCAGATGACATGACACAACATCCCAAAAGACAGTCATCTTCATTAGTTCCTTATTTCCATGAACATAAATGTGTATATAATAGGTATAAATGCCATCAAGACATTTCAATATTCAATTGAAGTGTTCATATAGTTTCTTTTATAATAGGGAAAAGTCTGACCAAAGACAACAATAACAATATTGTTTGACAGTTACATATTTTCAATAACAATACTGCTTGTCAGTTTAGTGTAATAAATTATAAAAAATGTTCTATCTCAGCTTACTTCTCATCCTTATTTGTCTCTAAATATCTGAGGAATGTATGTAAATGCTAATCTTCTGAGTTGTAACACCATGTAAGCTTGTAGGTAGATATCAATAGTTTAGAGGAAGATATTGCCTCTCTTCAGGGCTAAGGGTACTTGAGATGAATGGTTCCTATACAGATATTGTCAATTATATCATACAAGGCAATAAATAGTAAAATATTTAATAGTCTCTTCAAGTGCTTATAAAAGTTGTTGACCCCTTTGTAAGAAACACAATTTAAAAGAATAAGGAAGTGGCAAGTATCAAACTACAATTTAAAATTCTGAGAACAAACAGGATGAGATAAATTAAAAATAATGATATTGTGTAATCTAAGCTTTGAAAACATAAATGTAGATGGAGTAATGTAATTTATGAACAAAACTATGATTTCAAAATGCCACACACTATAAACCTTTGTTGGAATGTTTACAGCTGGAATATTCAGAGATATAAATCATATTGTAAAAAAAAGTAAAACCAAAAACACATACTGGATAATAATTAGGAAAAAGTTAAAATGTAAGAATTAGAATAATTTTCTTTATCCTTCAGTAAAGGATCATAGCAGCATTCACTGTACACCATTACTTGGTATGTAAGGAGGAGTATTTACCTAAATAAAGCAAAGAAAGCTATTTATTTTTTAAGAATTTTGAGGAAATTTGTATTTTGTCAATATTGAAATCAATACCTGGACTTTAAATCATTCTTTGGAACTAGTTCTGTTCATATGAAAGCACCATGATGCACAGGTTGCAATGCATATTTAACTGGGGCATACAGAAAATGTCCATCAATGTTGAAAAGTGAATTGTACTGCTAACAATATTCAATCCCACTTGAGGTAGAAAACATTTCTAGTAAATAATATAGTTTAAATGAAAATAAAATAAAGCAATGTTAATAGTGAATCATTGTGAAACCATCCCTCTCAAGTTTCTCTGAAACTGAAATTCAAATTGCATGCACTGCACGAGACATTTATTTATGAAAACATGTTTCCTCTCATTTTTAGTACTGAAAGAGATCTCAGGATGTGGTGGATGTCACCTTCTCAGTCTTCCATGCAGACATTTAACATTTCTTTACATTTATAACAATGATTAGTTCCTTGAAATGTACTTCTATCAGATGACATGACACAACATCCCAAAAGACAGTCATCTTCATTAGTTCCTTATTTCCATGAACATAAATGTGTATATAATAGGTATAAATGCCATCAAGACATTTCAATATTCAATTGAAGTGTTCATATAGTTTCTTTTATAATAGGGAAAAGTCTGACCAAAGACAACAATAACAATATTGTTTGACAGTTACATATTTTCAATAACAATACTGCTTGTCAGTTTAGTGTAATAAATTATAAAAAATGTTCTATCTCAGCTTACTTCTCATCCTTATTTGTCTCTAAATATCTGAGGAATGTATGTAAATGCTAATCTTCTGAGTTGTAACACCATGTAAGCTTGTAGGTAGATATCAATAGTTTAGAGGAAGATATTGCCTCTCTTCAGGGCTAAGGGTACTTGAGATGAATGGTTCCTATACAGATATTGTCAATTATATCATACAAGGCAATAAATAGTAAAATATTTAATAGTCTCTTCAAGTGCTTATAAAAGTTGTTGACCCCTTTGTAAGAAACACAATTTAAAAGAATAAGGAAGTGGCAAGTATCAAACTACAATTTAAAATTCTGAGAACAAACAGGATGAGATAAATTAAAAATAATGATATTGTGTAATCTAAGCTTTGAAAACATAAATGTAGATGGAGTAATGTAATTTATGAACAAAACTATGATTTCAAAATGCCACACACTATAAACCTTTGTTGGAATGTTTTAATGTCTAGAAATATTTTAACCTAATAGGATACAAACTGATAAATGTATTAGTACTAACTGTTGTGAAATTTAATGCAATAAAATGTGTTAATTAAACAAAGGTAATTTATGTAAAATATATTGACCTTTATCAACTGCATCGTTCTTTCCAACATTCACTATGATTACTGTTTCAGTTGAACTTTATGTGTCCTGGCATTTGTTTCACCAAATGCAATAGCTGTCCTTTGACCTTTCTGGAGTCTCACATTCCAAATACACTCATCTGTATTTTTTTGCCTTCACAGATTTGCATTTGTCAAGAATCCACATTCCTGAGTCATCCTTCAAGATATCGGGTACTGATAACAAACACAGAATAACTGAAGATATCTATGTACCTAACTAACTACACTGACCAGAGTTGTCTTTCATGGAATCAAAAGGTTCAGCAATGTGCCCATAACAGCACACCATTGGTCACTATCATGAGCCACATGAATCCAATCCACAACCTTCAAACCTGTCTCCTTAAGTTTCATCTACAACCAGTCTGTCATGTGCACTCTTACCTTCAGATTTTCCAACAAAATCTTAGTCCTACCCATGTCATCCCAATCTAAAATGTGGCAATGTATTATGAGTGATGTGAGATGGTGCAATTGTGGTCCGTTTTCAAAGTTATGTTCTCTAACACTTCCTAATTTTAATAATGGGTAAAAAGGGACTGAGGAGAACCATGAAAACATCGGAAGAATCATGACATACACGTTGTTACCTTCCGAGACGCAGTAAAATTTGTCATGTCTGCTTTATTATTTTCGTTGTAAAGGAATTTTCTGCATTTTATTTTGTCATACTTTGTGCCTTTACTTAGCTACATATTCATATTATAATTTTATTACTAATGACGACATACATACATTCTAATTAGATGGCATTCACTCAATTAAAATGAGCTTGGCTTACCAAAAATATGAATTCGTAAACTAAAACTGTTACGGTTTATCTAAATCATAGACTTAAACAAGCGCTTTTCAGTTTCCTTCCACGCAACCCCTATTGGTACGGGCAATCACTGACTCGGGAACTGTTGTGACAGACGATGTCACTACTGACAATACCAACCTTCTCTCTGGAGTTTCAATTAAATGCGCCTCCTCGAGATTCTGCTAATATAATTTATTACAATAAATTAGTCCATAACGCTGATAAATTACATTCATGTCTGAATTCACCAACAGTTTGGTACAGCTATTTATGTTCATGGCGGGCGTAGGATAGCCAACTTCATTTTCTTACATATGATAAATTCATATATACTTTAGTAGGTTAAAAAGATATAATCATTCTGAAGCAGCAAAATACTGTTCTAAGAAAGTTTGTGTAATGTAATTTTCAGAGAACTAAATCATAAAAATGAATACTAATAAAATTGTCCTAGGGATTTTCTGAAAACCCTGTTGACTGTACCGCTAGCATCGACAAGCACGACACCGCGGGAACGTGACATACATTGAGTCGGTGTACCATAAACAACTTTTTAGTTAATCAGTAGCAATGGGTATTTTAGGGCTATCAAAATTGATAGCAGATATCGCACCGACGGCAATAAAAGAGAGTGAGATTAAACATTATTTTGGTATGTACAAAATAGTAGTATTGTTTCACTTTCTGCACTCTTATTTTCTGTAGATAATCATTCTTTCTATTTGTTACATAGGTCGAAAAATAGCAATTGACGCATCAATGAGTTTATATCAATTCCTTATTGCTGTCAGAAGCGAAGGGGCGCAGCTAACATCTGTCGATGGGGAAACTACAAGGTGAGTTAACATAACCTATAAAACAAAAATTATCATAACACTTTGTAGCAAGCTTTAAGATGTATTATTGCTTTGGTTTGCAGTCATTTGATGGGCACATTTTATCGCACCATACGTCTGGTGGAGAATGGTATTAAGCCTGTATATGTGTTTGATGGTAAACCACCAGAGATGAAATCTGGCGAACTTTCCAAACGAGCAGAGAGGAGAGAAGAAGCACAGAAAGCTCTAGTGAAGGCAGAAGAAGCAGGTAAGAGCATTTACTTTATGTGCTTCTCAACATAAATTTAGAATTGGACCAGATTTATTACCAAGTTTATTGTTGTATTTTACTGTTTGTATGGGAAAAGGAAAGTCTATAGTGTGTTTACATTTTCTTGCTGTTCTCTACCAACTACCTCTAATATGGAGTCTGCCTCCCCCCTTGCCCACCTGTTGAAGCCCTGTCCTTGTCCCTGAATCTCAGCCAGTCCCTTTTCCAGTGTTCTACTCCCATTTAAAGTTTGCAATGTAAATTGTTTCAGGTCAGTAAATGGATCTTCTACAGAAAAGTACAACGTATCAATCTATGTAACCTATCACTGAAATGTTTTCTTATGCTTACTGCATCAACACAAAATGATAACTACTGCTTTACTGTTTCTTCTTCTATCAGGTGATGCAGAACAAGTTGATAAATTCAGTCGACGTTTGGTTAAAGTGACAAAACAGCATGCCAATGAATGTAAACAGTTGCTCTCCCTGATGGGAATTCCTTACATTGAGGTCAGTCTATAATGAAAAGTGTGATCAGTCAGTAAATGTAGGATTTGAGGTTTTCATGGTGGTGAATGTAACAAGGTAAAGTAAAACAATTGGTACTGAGAATATCATTAGAAAAGTTTCCAAACAGACATTAAGGACTTCCTTGTTACAGTAGCAGATTAGAAACAGTCTGATTACACTGCCAGTTCTACTTTTGAACATTTAATAATACTGAAATAAGTTGCCTAATATGTATGGAGAGTGGAGGTAAACCTCCACAAATTTTTTACTTAAGCACTAACTTGGAGTTGAGTGGCCAGCTTGATGTTCTGGTTACCTTTATGCCAGAGGAAACTAACTGATCTATCTTTGCTCATTTTTAATATTTGTGTTAGTGAAGATGATTTACAAATTTCTGTGCAGGCACCTTGTGAAGCAGAGGCACAGTGTGCCGCTATGGTAAAGTCAGGCAAGGTATATGCTACAGCAACAGAAGATATGGATGCTCTCACTTTTGGGTCAAGTGTTTTACTGCGTCATATGACATTTAGTGAGGCACGTAAGATGCCTATTCAGGAGTTTCACCTGACTAAAATACTTGAAAATTTGGAGCTCTCGCACAATGAGGTGGGATTTTATGTTATGCTTCATCAGAACCCACAAATCTTACTGACAATCCAATCTTTATATATTCATTTTGGGCTGTGTTACACAGTGTAAGAATGATGCAAATTTAATTTAATTTATTCTTTACAGTTTATTGACCTATGCATTTTGTTGGGCTGCGACTATTGCGACAGCATTAAAGGTATTGGACCTAAGAGAGCTATAGATCTTATAAAACAGCACAGAAATTTGGAAACTGTTCTCAAGAATATAGACAAAAATAAATATTCTGTTGCTGAAGACTGGATGTACACCGAGGCTCGACAACTGTTCCTGGAACCACAGGTTACTGATCCAGAAAAAATTGAGGTCAGTTTTACAGGACTTTAAGTGCTGTATAAATAGTGACTGTAAAGGAAGATGTTACAAAGTGAAAGAAGTACTTCTGATGGCATAAATATGTATGTTCCAAACACAGCAGTTCACTACTCAATAGAAATCCCATCCATCGTAATTTGTATTTTGTGACCCCCCTCCCCATTAATATAATTCTCATTAATTCATAATTCAATAACAATGTTCCTAAAGTCATACTTTGGCATTTATATATGGTAAAGTAGTGTACAGATATCCATTCTGCACACAACCCTAATATCCTGTAAATATTACCTAACTAAAAAGAAAACTACAGTATGAGAATGCAACAGCTATTGTAACAACAATCCTTGTTATACTTCTGTTCACAATACCCAAACTATTTGCTGTGAATCATGGTATATGTAAAGACTAATTACTGTTTTGTATTTTAGATAAAGTGGACAGAGCCAGATGAGGAGGGCCTTGTTAAATATTTGTGTGGAGACAAAGCATTCAATGAAGACAGAGTCAGAAGTGGAGCTAAAAAGCTGGCCAAAGCTCGAACTGGAGCAACTCAGGGACGACTTGATTCCTTTTTTAAAGTTCTTCCCTGCCCCAGTAACATATCTAATAAACGTAAGGTACTGATATCAACTGAAACTTTATACTTCCATAGAAAAGGAGATACCATAGCAACTAAATTTATCAATATAAATATACACTTAGATAATAGTAATTTAAATTAAAGGATGTTGCTAATAATTCCATCTGTATAAAACATGTCTCAACACTAGTTCAGCCTGTTAAATATTTTTAGGTATCCTATTTTTAAACACCCTATGACAAATGTTACATTTTCTTATTTTATGGAACTAACCTCAAAAGGAAGAATTCCCTTTAGATCATATAGATGAGAGGATACTAATATTAAAACAAAGCTGAAGAATAAAGTGTGAAAGAAGTGGATTTGTTTAGCTGAACATGGTGCAGCGGTGAAATTTTTAAGCTTCCGTGAACACATGGAATTTTCTCACAAGAAAAGTAATTTTCTGAGGATGCTCAAGGCAGCTTGTCATTATTTCTGGGGATAAGATACAAAATGTGAAAATATCATTATAGAAATATTTATTCTTCTGCATTTAGTCAACTGATGACAGGTCTTCAAATAGTAATTTTCTATGGCACTGGGTAGTCACAGTTATGAAAGAATATCATATGGCTCTATTTGAAAGCTTAGCATGGCTGAGATATGGTTGAACCAGATAAATCTTCATCTTTTCACACTGAATCATTCAGAAAGGGATGGAAGTAAAGCAATTTTCTTTTCAGGCAGAGGAAAAAACTGGAGCAAAGAAGAAAGCAAAGGCTGGAGGTGGAAAATTTCGAAAACCAAAATGAGTATCAACATTTTTATAAGTATACTTATTTTAACAATATTGCATATTTTGTAATTTAACTTTATACTATTATACGCCATTACTTGCATTAAAATGTACATTAGATATACCAAGGTTTTGCCACATTCATGCTAAAATGCAGTCCACAATATTACTCATGCTGTTGTATTGTACATACAAACCCATTGTCTGTATTTTTACTGTTACCACTGAATCTCAGTACTAAATAGGAGTATAATAAAGCTTTCTTTGAAACTTGCATGGCCATTTGTACTAAATGGAGTTTTTGTCCATCACAATAATTCATAATGAACAATGTTAGGACTCCTGCTTCTGGAGGTCCCAGGTTCAAATCACAGATGGAGATTGGCTAACCTGACTTGAAATTTTTAGTGATTTTCCTTAGCCCCTCCAGGCAAATGTGAGATAGTACCTTAAATCAGGCTATGACCACTTCTTCCACATTCTTTACAATTCATTATTCACAAATCAGACCAGAGTGTCATTCACTAAATTGAGAATAAAATATAAAACAAAACTTCATACATGAAGAAAATATCAGGAATTCTCGTATATAATTTGCCAGTTTTCAAAATGGATTTGTGTGATATACTTCACAGTAAGCAATCCATCAATTAATTTTCTATGTTACTGTGTAACAAATATGCTCATTATTCTTTTAGCTTAATGTACGTTACACTTGATGTGCACTTGCATGACAAATGTAACAGTACAATTCAAAGAATCTTAAACAAAATACAAGGTCACAGATCATGTTCCAATGTGATGGTTAAATATTTACTGAAACACTGTAAAGTTATGAGAACCAGTTTAATATTAAACAATGTCACAATTTTCTCTGCACAAATTGTACTTAAATTTAGCATACATACTGTCTAGCCATAGCCCGCAAGAAACGTGACTTCCGGATATTAGCAGCTTCTCTTTGTATTTCTTCATTGTTATTAGCATTTAATTCCAGCAAACCAATCACTTTGATCTGGAAAAAAAAATGGCATGCTAATATCTAAGATGCACACAAATGTTTCTTTTTGTGTTAAGGATGGAAAATCACATTCCATTCAGCAATCAAGTACCAGTAACCACAGTAAATTACCATTTCACAAAATCTGCTTTTTCTCCCACATATTATGGGGTTAAAATATGTTACTTACAGCTTGTTGTTTGCGATGGTGTTCACCTCTCTTGGTATGTAAATAAACGAGATATTCCAGAATGGTCGTGTCCCAAATGCACGAGTAATACGAATCCATTGCATCACTACATGTACTCTTGATATCACCTAGGCTTTTGAAAGCCGTAGTATAATCCACCTCTTCCAAGAACTGACACAGAACAGCAGCCTGTACGAAATAACAATATGAACAGATGAGATTTCAGATTCTCGTGGCAGCAAGTATGAAGACGACCGTCTTCTAGGATGTTGCCTCCATCATCAAGGTGATGATATTACTGACTGCCTGATGTGACTTTTTTAGTAATATTATGGAACTGATTTTTTAAATAGTAAAAACGGTAGCAATACTAAATTCAGATACTCTCTATCTTATAATGAAAGATTCAGAAATAAAGAATTCAACTGTCAGGTTACCTGTGTGTGACACTGCAGATGGGAACAGCACTTTATCATCCTTTTATATACATGGTCATCTATTGCAGCTCTAGGTACTGGCTGACTGAAGAAGTCACTAACCACAATAGCTGCTTCCAGGTAATACCTCAGTGACACAGCGTGATGTCCTTGTACTGAACAGCAAAGTTTTCACTTTTAGGCCAAAATAATGTGGTGCAACTGATACATAAATTGTGTGCCCATACATATGTATTGATAAATGCATTCAGTGGAAAATGTGATCATGTATCTGTTTAATAATAAAAAGAACTAAAAATATTACAAAGCTATTTGTGAACTTTTACAAATGTTTCTGAAACAATACATAATTGTGAATGATAGGACAGAATGGAAAAAACTCGTCGAACAAGCTAAGACCCACATAGGGTTATAACGCTACAAGAAGAAGAAGAAACAATACATACATATATGGATAAGATACCTTTCGCTGATATACCTATATGGACTTAAGACAAGCTAATTACAAAATGGAGAAAACATAATGAACTGCATGATTAATCTATTACTTTTAGTAATTCAATGAAGACCCCAGCTCATTAGGTATGTGGTACATGCTGGGAGAAAACAGAAACTACAACTCTGATAGGGGAACCTTCAGAAAAGGAGATAACAACAAATAGATAAAGACATGTAAAAATGATAGAAAAACAGCAGTTGTATGAACTGTACTACATGGTCAATATTGAGACTATTATTATTATGATGCAATAATATTACTATTATCTTTGTAACATAATTACTAAACTTCTTACAGTATCTGATAGTACTTGTATTACAAAATGTATGCATACCAAAATTAAGATCACCCATAACCTTCAGCCAGGCTACATTTGTTGCATGAAACTGCAGTGCTTGTAGTAACAACTGTGAAAGTGTCTCGCCAACTGATCTCAGGGAATAAGAATTCGCACTGCAACACAAAAAACTGAAATAACAAAACCAATATCGATACAGAAATCTTAGATAACAGTTTTTATTTATTATCTGATTTCTTGTCAAAATGAAAACTCTTCTGTCCTCTCAACTTGTACTATTAAACCATTTGTATAATGAAATATGGATAGAACAGGGGGAAAAGAAATATCAACACCCACCTGTGGATTCAATTTTGAATATAACACCACTCTTTAAAGAACCTGTCATTGTGACAATAGTGTGACTCTTACTTGCTGACAACTGCTGGCCACAATCCAACATAATCCACACTCAACTCCAAACTTGGTTCATCTCTTAGCACATTCTGAAGGCGAGCTAACAGGGAAATGACAACAGCGAGTGCTGTACTGTCTCGTAGTCTTGCTAGAAAGTGTGACAGTGTAGATCGAGTATGAGTTGAACTGTTGTTTGGAGAGTCACGATGAACTAATGTTGTTGTTCCTGATGAAGTCCGCTTCTGCTGAGGATTGGGACCAAATATGGGTAGTACTGTGAAGAAAGAGAAATGACATCTTAAGACATAAAAACCTGAAGAGAATTACTGTTTATGTGTATAATTTTGATAAATTCCAAAATGACAAAACAACTAATGTACAGTCAGCCACACTCATACTAACATTCACAATTTCAAGACCAATTAAATCTGTGATAAAATTAATCACATGAACTGCCATCATTTATTACAATGACCTCTGAATTTAAAGAATCTTGACATTTTTGGATTGCTATAGTTCTACCTGGTGGTTAAGACAAAAAGCAGTGTTAACAATGGTAAGAAATATAAATGTTCATACCCGAAGACTGTAGAAGTCACAGAAATGGTTTTATTTTAATATTTCCAAATTAGAAAACTGCCTCCAACTTTTAGCATTACACATACAAATTTTTTCTGAATATGAAGTGTGGTAGCTTCAAAAGTTCTGTGACACAAGTGAATACAATGACCGTATTCACTACCGTCACCATACTGTGACAGCAGATTATCAACTTTGACGCAACTGTAAAACCAAAGCCTAAATGCTGTGCCAGACTGTAAATTTATAACTGGAAGTATTTAACAATAAAAAGTTGCATCAGTAGTTTCTGACCCCAGTTCTAGAGGTTAATAAAAATGATATAATCTGTTTTCCTACCAATATCCCAGGCATCTCTGGATACTTTCTTGTTCCCTTTATATTTTGCTATGTCCAGACATGCACATGCAATAGCAGCGGCAATTTCAAAGTAGTTCCAACGTTTCTCCAGGCCAATCAAGTATTCCCATTCACCCAAATTCAAGAGGCAAATAGCACAATGCTCCATGACTTCAAGGCGAGGGATGACATTATCACCTGACTGAAGAGCTGCCAAGCACTGCTTGCAATCAGACACAAGAGTACTGGTATCTGCAATAATTTACACCAAGATAATTTACATTGATTATATTTTTAAAAAATAGCATTATCTGCCAGTACTGATCACAGTGGTGTTTTTATACTGTTTACATAAAAATAAACTGAAAAAATGTTGCATCTGAAAAAAACACTCATAACTTACAACAAATTTAAAACTATTTGTGTAATTCAGGAAAATAACTGTGTGACATCAAAATTATGGTGAACAGAATTTTTAATTTAATTTTAATGCATATGAAAAAAAAGATGTATTTTGCATGCATATGAAAAAAAAGATGTATTTTGCATGCATAGGGCCTTCAGACACTACAAGTGAAGTGATTAATCAGCAATTTAAAAATAAGTGATTATAAAACATCATAATACACTTACTTAGCTTGTGGTTTGGCCACTCTGTTAGGAACTCAATAATCTGTATGAGAAGAGTCTCCCACGATAACAGACGAATCAGCTTGTACAGTACTCCAGAATTTATGGAACTGTTGCGTGCTTCTTTTCCTACAGCATTTAACAAGTCTCTAGCCAGCTTAAAGTCCTGAATGAAAATACATAACCTCAATCGGTATGTTAAAGAAGTGTTGTTGCCATACAGTAAAACTTAAATGAAATTTCATACAAATAGTAGGTATCAGTTTATGCACATACAGTGAAATACTCAACTTAAATCCTTAAATGTTAATCCAAAATAGACAAAATCTGTCTAACACATTTGTTCCTTTCAGTGAATATTTAATGAAATACTGTTCGAGTTCCACATCCCATTTTACATTATGTTTCAGAGTGGACCTGAATTCTCTTCATAATTTCTAATATGAAATTTCAATAAAATCATAGCACATTTTATGTTTCTGATGGTAACCAGAAGAATAGCTAGTATTCCAGGTACATGCAGAAATTAGTGTGTCTTTAATAAATTAAGCAGGAATATTGATTTTATAGTGATCTTATCCAAAATTAAGACTCAACTAAAGAAGTTAATATGCTTCTGAGACAATGAAATTATGTGATTAACCTACCTTCATCGTAGTTAGTTCTCTTGACTTTGCCAACAAGATACAAGCAAAATCCTGTACAAAGCCTCTCGGTAATGACATTGCCATACTCTGCAAAGGAATTGGCAATTCCCACTGCAACATAGATCATATTACTTGATACATTAATACTGTTCCCTATAATTACAAGGAAATAACCAAATGTGGGATGCACTTAATTTGTTTATATCATGAACACTTTTGGTTGTGAAGTTCATTGTATAATTTTAAGGTTTCATTGCAACCTACATACAAAGATCTTCTGAGATGTTATTCTGTGTACTGCTAGAAGCAGCTTCCAGTATTTTGGAGGAATGTGCAGAATCCAACGTCACACCAGAAGTTAACAAGTATGGGGAAAAGGAAATAATGTCTTCTGAATAATAATTGATTTTTTGTCTATACAAACTGTATAACAAAGTGTAAATACCTCACAAGCATGTATTGCATCATTAGTACTGTAAGCATTTTAATTTAGTTTTGATTGGAATTTAACTACTTACTGTGTAGGAAACAAAAATGGCAACTTAATCTAATCAAACCCCTTAACAACATAAACCACTGTAAAGGACATTGTGTGCACATCAAGAATAAACCCACCTTTAAAAAACACCACTACTGCTCTTCCTGTGGCATAACTTACTAATAAAAATAATGTACCTTGTTATTGATTCTCCACTGGGGCTTTGCTGGATTAGCAGCAACAAGTTTTTCTACAAGCCCCCTGATTTCTGTTACATCATAGCTCAGTAACAGCTGCTGTTCCAGACTTCCAACTTCTAACCTCACATTCTCTGCAAATATATATTTAAAAGTCTAAAGAACTGTGTGGATGGATATTCTTTGCTCATGCTGTCTCAGATATGCATTTCCTCTCTCTTCCTGCTTTAGCAGTGAATGCTCTTTACCTCTAACAACAGAAAAGTTTATGTAGACATAAGTAATGAATGTCTTACTATTTCCAATTTGCTTCAGTTTTGCTAAATCCACACATCACCATCACAATACAGATTCTGTTAATTTTGTTGTTCAAAATATACCTCCACAATGAAATAAAACCTTAGACATACTGAACCAGTAACTTACTGCATAGTGTAAAGTCTGGCATGTCCCAGTCAGTTTTCAATAGCAGTTCTGGGATGTCCACCTCATGCCCTACTCCCGCAGTTTTACTGGGTATCTCCTCCATCTCAGTAGGTGAAAAGAGATCTGTTAGAAACTCATATGATATAAGACGTTCAGGTAGACCTTCTATGTCTCCGCATTCGATGAGTCTCATCACAAACAACTTTATACGCTCCTTTTCTGCCAAGTCAGAATGTGGCAGTATATGTTTCAGTGCCTACAGAATTCAAGAATAGCATGCTATGATAAGTGATTATAAATATCCAATTTCAGAGACTCAAACTACAGATATATGAATTTAGAAATTATTCTTGAATCATCCTTTAATATCCACCAATGTATTAAAACAATACTAATAAAAAGAAGTTGACAGTGGAACTACGGTTGAGGAGAATCTGACATAAATACGTCTCTGTAATGTAATGAAATGAAATGAAATGTAATAATTCTTATATAAGATAAGTACTTGTGATATTCTAAGACGTTTTTACCAGCACAAAATTATCTAGTCTACAACACACTTCTACAAGTGATTCACAGCTCAGCTCTTTCCGCAATAACGAAAGCGGCAGTAATGTAACAATGCCAAGTAAACAGATGACGCAAAAACTAGTTTCTTAGGTAACATAACAATTCACGCAGGAGTTCATATAAAAACTGACCATTGTTGTCGGTCCATATTTACATATTGTTGATATGGATCTTACACAACTTCGTTACACTTTTTTGCCGAATGACCCTTCCGTATAGACGTATTTACGTCAATAATTGATTTTATTTAAAGTATTAACTGTACTCACACTGACAAGTAAATCAACAGCCTTGGAGCCTCCCTGATGAAGTTTGTGAGTGTAATCACCACAGGTCAGTGTGCCTGTGACCACCCTTCGGACAACATTCAATGTCTGAACTTGAAGCAGCAGATCTCGAGCAACAGTGAATTTGCGACTGGACATTGCACCTTGAATATCCAACTCCAGAGTATCCCGGTAAATCTGTGGGATTTCTCGATGCACATTGTCTGTTTGGAGGATGGATACTATACCCTGAATCATACAACAAAATGTCTACTGATGTACTATGCTGTAAAATGTCTAAAATGCCCTAAGCTAAATTTACTCCAATCCACACCCTACCATCATATTTACTTCAGATATATTCAATATCAATACTCCCCCACCTACACACAGGTCTTTCAAGGGTCTCTTCCCTTCATATTTTCTAACCACAGTTTTGTGTATATTTCTCATTTATTTATCACTCATGTCACTTTCCTGTCCTTCTTTAATGTATGTTTACTTTTGCTCCAAACATTCTGAATATAGTATAGCACTGATATACTTACTGTGTATTGATCCCTGATTGCTCGGTGCAGTTGATATGTTAAGTTGTGTGTTGATACAGTTGGTGAAGTAATGTCACAAGCCTCACAATAACCTTTCAAATCCTCAACCGATACTGTACAATATACAGTGGATTCAATGTCCAATAGCTGTCGCAATTCTGCAGCCTTGCGAAATAGATCCCCTGATACAGAATATTCTTCACGAAAGAAATGGAAGCTCCCCAGGTCAAAATGCAGCTTAAACAGAAGATTTTTATTAAAATTTAAAACATTACAATTAATCTTAAAATGTAATAATGATTAAAGAACTACATGCCTGCATGTTGTTGCTTGTACCCCAAGAAAAAGTTCCAGGCAGAACATTGGTATTAAGCATTTCATTCTAATTACTAGTGCATCACCACTATGCAGTGCTGCCACATTGATGCAACATCTACTAACAGATCTGCAAGGATTTCAAAAGACTTTTCCAAATGTTACAATTAGTCATATTTTATGCATTACTGAAAGAAATTAGGGTACTGTAATTTTTACACATGTTTAATAACAGACTCACCAACCTGGCATAAAAATTCTGTAGAAGATACTTCAGCGCTCTTATCCCAATTCTGCCGTGCATCAGTGCTATCCTCTGTCAGCATTACAAAAGTGTCAAATATAGGGACTGTTGGAATTGCAGGTCCGGCTAATATGCGACTCAGGACTTCAATGCTATTGGCCACTTGACTGTCCAAACCTCTTACAAGATCTTCACTTACATTAGGAGGAACATATGTAGGATCTTGCAGTCCTGGTCTGAAGATTAAAAAATAAGATCAAAATATTCAAAGTTCTCAGTGCCAGTGACTAAAATAAGATTAACTGTTTTTTTTTAAATAAATCAGGTTCCTATAGTATGAAGGTACTACTATGTTTTCTCTCTCCTTTCTCCCCAACCCCCTGAATGAATTGAATGTCTATTGCTCACACAGGAATATATGGTTGACGAGCCTGCTTTGTAGCAAAGCGACTGGACATAACAGCTCGAAGAACCCATCGATGATAAAGAGCTACAGCAAACAGAATGTGGCCTGGGCAAGAACTCAAATCCAGTTGCAAGTGCGTCTCCACTTCAGCATCTTTCTCGAGTGTCAGATATAACAAATCCTGCAGAAGTGTCAACTGCATTGGCAAGGGTAACCTTAAACACAAGTGAACATTTCAGATACAAGTGTGGTTTGTAGATTGATAGAATATTAACTCAAGAATAACAATTAATTGTCCCTGTGTATAGAATAAATCCAATTTTTGACAAGAATTCATGTGCAATTACTGATTTTGTTACAATATCCAATGATATTTCAAGGTACAACCTCAGAACTTGCCTCGAGGAAGTTGAAATCACTGAATAATGGAGAGTGGAAGAAACAATTTTCAGCATGAAACAAGAGCTGAAGCAGACATCTGTATGGATTGAAGTATATACACCCACAAACAAACTGCCAAAAATTCAACGTTATTTTAAGGTGATATGTCCTTACCTTCTTTCTAAAATACCTAGATCCCATTTCAAGAAAGCTGCAACTTTCAGAGATAGTATTTTCAAGGCTAAAAATTTATAACCTCTTTTATTTCCAGGCACCTCATTTTTGTTACTTTCTGGTGACTCATTCTCACTTTGTTTAGATTCTGCTTCCTTTGTATCTGGGGTAATGGACAGGAACTTGACAATCAAATCTGTGGGTGATGGATCTGCACAAAAAAATCACTCATAACACCTTTGATCATAGCCATGTCTGATTCATCCTACAGCCTCCAAATAAATTCTATTCTGTTCTAAACTGTATTTCTCAAAGTGACAAGACCTAACAGCTAAGTTTGTATGGACTGAAGTGAGACATTAAGGAGCAAAGAAAAATAAAACATGTATGCTTGAAGAAATGGAGACACTGATGAATGAAGAAATAGATAGGACAACACGAAATTTCTGGGACTCCTACATAATCCATGCAGACAATTTTTCATAAGAAAATTATGTTACATGTCAAAAGACATGAAAAAATATCACAGCTAATGACAGTAATGTTGACTGTGGTGCTACTACTCACAATGGGGCAAATCAAAAAACTTGTAGTTACTCTGATATAGAACATAGTATCATGTTTGATTAATCTGTTACATACACATTTTAATGTCTCCTTCCCTTTGTTCTACTAGACTGATACTATGTCAATCATTTACATGCTGGCAACACTGTGGTAACTTATCATTGGCAACTGTCAAACATGAGATCTGAGTCCTAGCACTGTAGACCGAACTTCCTCCTCCTCCTCGTCACTGCTTCTTCCACTAGCATCCTAGATAGCTTTGCGCTATGCCTAATAGCTTATAGCAGAAAACTGTAGTACTAATATGAACTTACAGTGTAATGGATAGAGAACTACAACTGCATTATCGTTTTTGCAAACGGTAAATCGGTGAAGCCAGAAAAGAAAAAAGTCAGGCTTAACGACATTATCAGTTTGTTCAAAGTAAAACATAGTTCTTAACCAAACTTTCTCCTTTTGGAATACTTTCGTTTATATAAAGCAGCGTCATCCAACAAATTCCGCTGATTATAGAACATCAACTCTAACATTGCTTGGACGCAGATAACTGAAAGAGTGACATTACCTGGTGTTTCTTTCTGTAAATGATTTTCTAGCAAGCTGGGATCCAACAAAAACTCAAACCATAGCACAGTATTATGAGACGGTCGTGCTGTCCCTGGTCTTAATAATTCCACATCCATTATTATAACACTGGTCAACAGCTTGACGTAAACATCAACCCATCAAAATGTAAATATGAAATGAAAAGTAAATTTCTCTGTGAAGGACTGAACCATAAATTAATAACTATATACGTGCCATAACCCCTCAAAACATAATGGTCGTTACACTATTACCAACATGGTAATGTTTATGCCTCAAATGAGCCTTAAGAGTACTTCATATTGGACATTCCGCGTTCAAAGAAAGATTACGTTGTAGTGAAAAAAATCGCAAAATATGCACTGTTTAGGAGTGCTCTTTGTGTTGAATACATAGGGCACCTAAATTCGATAATATATGGTTTCAATACACGAAGCAGCAGCGAGTGACATTGGCAGCATCTAGAACCGAAAAATTGTATATTGCCTTGCAGAAGCCTCATGAAAGCTATATAACCTTCACACCGGTTACAAATATAATGTTGCATCTTAGGGTAGGCTAAGTTTGATTAGGCCTGTTTAAGGTAAGGCAGTTCGTTCGGCGGCCTGTAGCAGGTTCTCGGCACTGCCAACGGCACTCCGATGCGCCTCTGAGTGGGAGAATTTTACCCAGTAATAATAATTTTACAGAAAATTACATTTGAGTTAAATAAATGGTTTCTCCTCAGTTCACCTGCCAGTATTCCTCCACTTTTCTTAAGATACTTCTAATTTGTTTTGTAACAAGTGAAATTGATAAGAAATGCGCAAACAATTTTGGGTGTAAAAACTGACGGAAAGAGACCACTTAGGAGACCAAGGAATAGATAGATAGGATATATTACACCTGATTTTAAAGAAGGTATGAGGATGTGTTTGTTTATTGAATGCTAAGTCCTAGTAAATTATTATATACAACAAAAGTAACCAGCAGGCTAATTCTTCACTGTAGAGCTCTTACATAAAAACCTACAATCTTATCCATACCACTAAATCTTCTTAATATTTTAACATGTCACATATTTTAAAATCCAGACTAGAGTCCATCTATATGTGCATCTAATATTCTAGTTATCTATATGATTAAACTGCATAAAATGGAAGACCTATTCTTTTCAATTATGAAATTATTATTTTGAGAAAGCTCAAACTGCTATAATTTAATAGACTGACGAAACCAATGTCAAATTTACCAACAAAATGAGCAACAAGTCTCAAACATACTCTCAAAGAAAGTAAATAATTTTTAAAATTGATTAGCCATATCTGTCAAGCATCACACTGGTAAAACATCAAGTAATTAATTAATTTTTCTCAAAGTATAATGAGACTTGGCTGAAATACTTTTGGTTCATATACAGTACTTAAGACAAAATACATGAACACTTCCAATATATACAATTATCAAACACAAATATTACAGCAAATGCAATGAAATAATGTTAAGTATTTACAATTACAACTGCCAATGATACTTTACAAACCAAACAGTGTCATTTTGATTTTACTAGAATGCATGACAATAACATAAGACACATTCTGCATTTATGGAAGTAAACATATTAATCTGTAAGGAAAACTCAACAGGAAGCAGTTTAGGTAAGATGAAGTAAATTTTAGAAACAAACTACACACAAACTACTGAAATGCAAAGCAGGAACCACACAAATTAGTCAGTTTCATTAGTAACAGAAAAAAGGTATTTTCAGCTTCCTGTATTTTTTTTCCAATAATTTTTACCACAACCAAGAGACAGGGTAGCTCAGTCAGTATAGTGACTGGATGACCAGGGTTTGATCCCCAGCAGGGGCAAAGGATTGTTCTTTTAGCCTCTGCATCCAGACCAGCTCTGAGGCTCACCCAGCTTCCTATTCAGTGGGTAACTGGGGTCCTTTACCTGGGGATAAAGCACAGCCAAATTATGATGCTGACCATTTCCCCCATCTAGTGTAAGAGGTCAAGAGCAAGTAGGAGCTATACCTCCTCTACTCCCCCAAGCACCTTCATGACATGTAGTTGGGCAGCTTCACTTTACCACAACCAGATTCACTTTTATTTCTCACTATTTTGTTGTCTTAACATAATTCAGAGAACATTTGATGGCCAGAGTAATTTTTCTGTGAAATAGTAAATAAATGTCATTCAAGTTATTCTTTAGCATGCACACCAAAATAGTTGTAAAGTGGAGTCTTGAAGATCCTCATTAATTGGAGACCTGGGAGCAACAGTGGCCTAACCCACAAAGCTAGAACATCTTAAATAATACAAGAAATACAATCTTGTTATTGCTCTCTATTTTATATAAAGGATGGTTGAACCACATATGAGTTGTTGGTTTAAATCTGTTACTTTCAGAATCTTACAAAATGGGATCAGAGTAATAATGTTTAACTTTATCACCATTTTATCTGTTTCAATAATTTGTGTAGACCACTGTTGCTCTCTGGTCTTCAATTACAGAACTGAAGAATGCAAACGTCTGCAGATGACAAGTAGTGTCTAAATCAAGTAAAATGAAAACCACTGTATCTGTAGTTTTCACTTATATAAACCCATGGGAAAAACATGAGATATGAAAGTGGACTAATTGGTTCATATATAACTCTGAGTGCAAGTATCACAGTTTGATAAATAACATTCTAACCTCTAAATTCCAAACCAACTTAGGTCAGAATGTGGAATAATTTCAGTGGGTTTGATCAATTTTACAAGAAAAATTTTGTTATTTCCATTATACAATTTGTGAAATCAACATTATTAGCTTCTCACAAAGTACTTTGCTGAACTTGTTCTTACTACACTTTCTTAAGTTTGGTTCAGAGTACCTAAAAATATGTCTCAAATTCTGTCATGCTTCATGTTTCTAGATCAAATTGTAAACGGAAAGAAACATTTAACCTCTCAAGTACCTCTCAGTAAATGAACTGCAATTTCAGAAATTAATGGGCATCATAAACTTTGTCTGACAAGCTGTATCATACTAAATTAACAATGTGAAGGATGAACATGTTAAACCTGTTAAGCAACTTCCAATTTATTCTATAGGGTGCTCAAAACGTACAAGAAATTTGATCTTCTAAACCATGAGTCAGATAGCACATTTCATTAGTGCCCAACTATGTCATCAACACAAGAAAAATGTCAAAATTTTAAAACTGGTATTAGCAGAAAGTTGCTTAAAAGTATGTTCACAAAAAGTACCTTTTATGCTGTAGAGAACAATGGATAGAACATAACTGCTTCAGTTCAGGTCTCTCAGATTTCCCATTGAACTTCAATGGACTCATTGCTTTGTACTTATAATAGCCAACATGTTTGATTCTATCATTCACATAAAATATTAAATATAAATTATAATTTTACAAATGATTCATAGTGAAAAACATTTAAAAATATGTACAATATGTGTAAAAATGCTTAAAATATATGACAGAATCCAGTGGTAAAACAAATTTATGTACAAAATTCTGATTCTGATTTATGATGTTGCATACTCTAAGTGGTATTTAAGAAAATATGTAAATGCCCACTCTATGCTCATACCTTATTTTCCTCTAGAACACCTGTTGGGAATATCAATAGGCCCCTCTTGGTTTGATCACAATAAACTGGCACACTCTGAAAGATGAAAGATACACTTGACGATATATTCAACAACTGTAGTACAACTGTTTCTTCACACATGTTCTATTTCAACCTGTAAGAGTTGCAGCCTTATCATCCTATTACAGATTTAGGATTAAAAATATGTTAGCTACATAATTCTTTTATATAAAAAATTACATTTATCTGCAGACAATTAATTCTCTGCAAAAAAGTAGAGAATTGTTTCCATGATAGTGCCTTTATTGCAGGAAATCTCCTATGATACATACCATACATTTAAGACTCGGCCATTGTTCAGCTTTGGACAATAATGAAGATGAATGTTCTGGAAGATAGAAAAATGTAACTACAAAAATGCCATATACTTATGTGAATATATGGACGTACTTGTTCATCTTTCTGTGAGTGTTATTTTTTTTATGTTGTTATTACACATTCCTGGTAGAGGCAGAACTTTTTGCCACCACAACCAAATCAGGTCTGGGCATTCTCAGTCTCTTATCTAGTGAGAGCCAAAGGATCTTACTCTTGAGATAATGCAGATGATGTGTGAAGCTGACCACTCAGCTTTGTCTAGTGCCAAGATCTACAGTATGTGAAACTTTATACCTCTACACAGAATATACTCCTCCATGGTGTTGTCTCCAATTTTGTACAATCACGTAAAAGAAATATTAGTATTTTGATGCGTGTTTTGTAAATTCTCACAGTGGCATAAAAGCTTGTCATAATTTATTTGTTCTGGGTTTCTAATTTTGTAGGCTTTTTATTTGTGGGAACATACAAGCTGTGTACGTTTACATATCAGTCATTGTACAGAATATACAAACACAGAATAACAATATCCTAAAAACAATTCTCAACTTCAGAGTTACTCCAGCACATGTAAAGGAGATGTCTTATAATTTCTGGAACATATAACATCTGATCTTGTGGAGACATGCTTACTTAAAACATTTATGAGCACAGAATATACAGAATGACCCATAAAGGTTAATATTCCATAGTATGTGCAGATATCTTTTTGGGGCACCTGTATATAAATGTGTTTATGTTGCCTGTTATGTTCTGTGACTTATTATTTATACCAAGTTAATTTAAATTCTGAGATTCTTTTAATACAATCTGTGACACAGGCCTCATAAGGTAGAAAACTGTTTGAACCCCTGTTAAATCTACCTGTGACTTATAGGCCTTCACATGACAGACTTACGCACACGGTAGAATATAAATTCATACTGTCATTAGTGTTTTAACAGACTTTATAAGCATAAAATTGTATTTTCAAAATATGACAACTAGTTTATTCTCATAAATATTATTAATATTATTATTAACACATAATTTTAAAATTCCATCAGTTGTACCAAATTATCCTATGACTAATTAATTTCATTTGCAAAATTAGCATGCATGTACAAATATTTTAAAAAGTGTGATGAATATTCTTATGTAACCAGCATGGTAATCACAAAGCAAGCAGCAAAAACTATGGCATTATACAGTAATTACAATGAAATAAACATAGCCAGTGAGAATTCTTTCAGGCCTTAAACTGAGATCAGATTTCAGATACTCTTGAGGAATCCTTGATAATATCAATACTTACAGTCCACGACTGTAATCTTGAGACTTGCAAGGAATGCAGTAAGTCCAGAGCGTTAAAGGCAGACACTATCTTTCCTCCTTCCTCCTTCACCCCACCACCTCACTCCGCAAGTCTCTATATTACAGTCGTGGACTGTATAAATGTGAGGAAATTTTTAATAGTTAAAAGTATTGTTACAAATATTTGCTCAATGAAAACACATACAGCCTTTGGTGTTCCTCAGTCTCAAGAATCAACAAAATCAACCAACGTCATACACAAGAAAACAACAAAATTACTGTAATGTGAAGTAGGTTTCAGTATGAAAAAGGCCTGCTTGTTACCTATGTACAGATATTGTGGAAATTAAGACAAACATTCATTCTGATCAGATACACGAAACCGAAGATGAGGTGTATACAAGTGTAGACAACTTACAGGATTAAACTGCCAATATTCTAAAGGAGAAGAATATAATTTTAATTTCACCTTATTTCACGTTAATGAACTCTGTACTCTGTATGGAATGTAATAAGTCAATGAATTTCATTTATGTCTATTCATCTATCCTTCCACTTGGTAACAGCATTTAAACCAGGGCTTCTTCCCAGCAGAATGTGGTGAAACTGCACTTAAGAATCTCTTCTCTTCATTTGAGGGAAGTAGCTAGTCTTTACCTATGATTCTTTAGTGAATATATAAAATTTGATTTCATACAGCCAGTAAGTAATAAATTAATTTTACAAGAATCATTTCACCAAGAAGAAAAAGACATTAATGAGAAACAATGTCTTTTCTCAAATTTCATAATGAGCATAGGGAAGTCATTAAAACAAATACAAGTTCACTATTTCTGGGTCACTGAAGAGAGATATTTACACATATGAATAACAAAAATATTAAACAGTAGTCAAAGTATTGTTTCACTACAACTTGATGATTTTGATACCTACATATTTATTTTTTAATAAACATATTTCAGTTATGTAATACCAATATCTGAAAGCAGTTACATCCGACATAATCATTCAACATTCTGACAATTTATCTTCCTTCACTTTCCAGTAATTTCTCTCAGTTGCCCAAAGACAGACTGAATAAAGTGATTGTAGCTCCGATCACTTCTACTGCTTGGATAGCAATTTCTTACCTTGTATCATGCCGGGAAGCAGTTATAATTTGTTCATCCTGCATTGTGGCACTACCCAGCCCAAAATTAACTGCACAGTATTACAGATAGCAAAAAATTCACCTTGGATATTGTTATAATATGCAAAGTTAAGGCAATACTTAATCCTTTATATTCTAATGTAGGAAAGAAATCCTGAATTTTGGTAATCTCATAACAATGCTCCTACCTATTTCAAGAAACAATCCTAAAATCTCTGAAATGCAAAAATATTGTGTCTAACTCCTAATATGGGAGTGGATCCTAGAAAGCACTTACTCTACATTGCACCACAAAAATTATCACATACTTGTACAAGTGTACTTAAAATTAAAAGCAGGCTGATCAACTGAACCTACCTCACATGTAATTAATATACACCATTAACAAATTTCTCTTCTGAAAAAGAGTTTCTGTATACATTTTATATCTTTGCAAGTCCAATCATATTCAAAACAAACCAAAAGATTTGTACACAAAATTACATTTTAGTTTTACATATAATTACTGGTCAAACCATACATCTCCATAATTAACATGGGAATATAACAAAAGAAGCATCCCTATTAACAGCAATTTTTTCATTTCATGCTTTATTTATGAGTGGATTTATCACAACCACATTAACAATTTATGTAACAGACATAAATCACTTTACATTACTAAGAGAAATAATGTAAAATATTAACTACCTCTATTATTTATCTCTCCAAATTGAGGCCAATATTTATGGCAGTGTTGAAAACACAGCAAAGTCAAATAACATTGATTTGGTCATTATTAGAAACATCAGGTAGCTATGGACTAACCAAAACTTGCCAGACATACTCATATGTATTAAATACAATAGGCCACGGCCAGTGGAGCAGTGCTTAAATCTCGGCAAGAATACTCACTCATGTACTCTTCCAGCCAACACGATCTTGACGTGTCACATCTTATGCACAGTGAGCTGGCCAAGTGTCACACACTAGCATACCACTAAATCATTAACCCTGTCGTTAAAGTCTTGTTAGTGCCTCTGTGAACCCAAGTAAAATAATTCTAAATTTCTGTCTTCTGGGTTGTTGCACTGTGTAGTCTGGTCGATGTTAACCAATGTTTCAGAGGTCATACTGCCTCCGTCATCAGGGCGATGAATCGTTGGTTAACATCAACCAGACTACACAGCGCAACAACCCATAAGACAGAAATCTTCATACTCACTGCTGTGAAAACCTCAAATCTTACAAAATAATTCTAACATACCTGTGTTTAGAAGAGAACTTGGGGGGCAGTATACTTTGAGATTATATCCCACCTAGAAAACCTGAATTATTATAGTATAGTGTATGCTATAGGATCACACAGAATTCAATCTTCCAGCTACCACAGGAATATTAAGAGTTCCGAACTAATTACATTAAATTTCTACCATCGGGTATTACAACTTAATTCCATTTTGCTTGTAGTACTACTACATATTACACTACTCCACTGGCACAGAAATAGCGCAGTATAAACATTACTAATACATTAAGCAGCAACATTCTTATATCTCAAAGTAATTATTGTTGCACTTACCGTGCACTGATATTATTTTCTCACTTTTCTCAATTTAAATATGCAGTCATACTGAGCTATTCTCCTATATAATGCACCAAAACATGTATAGCATGTATACACATATGACAGTACTCAGCTATGTGGACTAGGGCAGTGGTATTCAACCTTCTTTGTTTGCGTACCCCCAGATGTAATTTCTCTTCAACTTTGTACCCCCAAAGTTGTTGGTGTATAATCTACATCTAAAATAAATTAAATAAATGACATTACTGATTATTCAGTGCTTATCATAAAATAATATATGTATTTTTTTAAATTTCACCTACCCCCTAAGATGTCTTTGCGTACCCCAGGTTGAATACCATTGGACTAGGTACTGGAAAAACAAGCTTATATAACAACAGGTAAGATTATACCGACATGTGGTATGACTATACTTCTTTCCAAACTAAATTCTTTAAGATACAAGGTATCCTACTTAAAAGACAAAGTAGTTGTTGAATAATTTTAACATATAACACCTGGGTCGAACCCATCACACGTAAAGGAATGTCTGAGACAATCTACGGGTCATCATAGATTAAAACTGTACTGTCCACTTATATTAAAACTACGGCTTAAATTGTATATATATTTCACCCATTAATACCAAAATACTGTTACTAGAATATGACAGAAACAAATCTGCTTGTTACAAGCAATGATATTTTGTTATTATGTCAAAATGTCAGTCCAAAATTTTAATCCAGGTGAAAATGCAAGCCTAGAAACAGTACTGGCAGGAAAAGAAGCAGGAACTTTCTTTTGTTTCCTACAGGCCAATCAATTAGGTCACTTTAACCCCAAGTACCAACCAGATCGGATAATTTTTGGGTGTATATATAACAGTACATGAAAGGCCCAGAATTTAATTCAATGGATTGTGCACCAGAAAGTGAGTTTCTTTATTCTGAGCTTTCCAAATAGTTTATCTGCTGCAAAAAGTTAGAAACAAATTACCCCTGCTTAGTATGCACAAGTCAGCTGGACTTCCTCGTTGCAAGGTGAGCCTTGCGACAATTGCACAGCCACTTGATAATGCGTGCATTTCGTTCAACAATGGAGAGTTGCTCTATAGGTCTCTGAAGGTTACTGGATCCCCCACTGCCAGGTCCGGTCCCCCCGACACCACTCCACGGACTTGTCCAAGAATCCACTGAACTCACACTCTCAAAGAACACAGGCGATGATGAACCAGAAGCAGGTGCTGATAATGACCTACACATACATGTATCACAGTTGTACTATACAGTCTAACACAAGTTTACTGAATATAAAATAAGTAAACAAACAACTATTAACACTATAAAAAGACACTATTGCCATACGCATTTCAACCTCAAGAGGTCATCATCAGTGGCATCAAGGAAATTAATTCATTTGATCAAATGGTTTAAACTGGATTTAGAAATAAATAAGTTGTTTCACCCACGATTCTGGAGTTCACAGGTACGGACAACGCATCCACAGCTCGCGGCAGACCAGCTATGGCCACCGAACCATCGGATCAATAGCCAAGTGAATAACAACATCTAGTGCAGTATCACTTGAAATACTTTTGTGAAACATCTTATTTATTTTCTAAATCCAGTTTAAACCATTTAATTAAATGAATTAATACTACAACTGCAATAGTGTATTTTGACAAACCTGAAGTCGCCAGTGTCAAGGCCCAACTGCTCAAAGAACTTATCCAGTTGGGCACCAGATCGAGGTTGGGGAGGAGGTGGCGGCCTTGGAGCTGCGGAGTATCGATGACTAATATCTGATTTTGATCTCAAGACAGGGCGGCGTCTCTCACTTTTCTGACTTGTATCACAGGTAGTCACTCTGGAAGCCAAATCATATCAATCAATCTGAGGGGCAATTATTCTTTAGATACCTCCATTTTCTCCACAATTAATTTCCAATTCATTTAACACAGTCAACATCATTAATGTGAGCTGTGGTCTTCTGGGTTGTGATATAATTAATGCAGTCTTGTAGGTGATCACCAAATTTCAAAGGAAATTTTCAATGCCACAGTCTAGGTGGTTACTAACAATCCCCCAAATCAGTGGTAATTACAAGACTCCACAGTATCACAACCCAGAAAACTGCAATCCACATTTTCACAGCCACGAAAACTTCGAAAGACATCATTATCATTAATGATAGTCAATGATAGGCAGACTGGTGACTCTGTTCAAGGACTCCCTGCGCAGCAGTTATTCAAGACCTTGTGGAACTCTGAAGGTCACTACAGTTACAAGAAAATCCTGCATATGGGCCAAATCGTAAGTCAGTTTAATCCAATTATATATATACTTCCCAGGATGTTTGCCAAACAAATTTTGTAATCATTCTTGTTCCCCCATGCATGCCATATTCTGTTCTGTTCCAAAAAAGTAACAATACCAACAAACGGTACACACTATGACCTTGCTACATAATTTCTCTTCTTATAGTTTGAAACACACTCCTCGGCAATTTAATTTTGAACAAACCGTGGACAAAGTCTTATAATAGACACGCTACCTATACTGGAGTGATGCAGTTGGTTCCTCTGCACCGCTATCACTGTAACTGCTGGTGCTGTTGTGCTGAGCAGCAGAGAATTCATCTTTGCCAGCATCCAACACAGTGTCAGGGCTCCTATCTGTATCTGGACTATCTTCTCCACCCTCTCCTGATGGTAACCTATGTGATATTGTTGCTGAAAAATATAACAGCAGACATTAATATTTATTAATAAAGTCTTCTCGGACTATCAGCCGTGTTAGTTGGTGATCGATCGCCAACGTTTCGAGGACCGTCTCTGTCCTCGAAACGTCGGCGATCGATCACCAACTAACACGGCTGATAGTCCGAGAATACTTTATTAATGAAAGCCGCCGTGAAAGCTTCACATCAGACATTAAAATTTTAAACAGAATTCACAATTGGTGAAGATTTTTGTATTACTTTTCTACTAGTATATGTATTTTATAACATATCACCATACAAATTTGACTTTTGTACTATACAGATACATACATATACTTGACGATTTTATTTACATATGAAGCAGATATAGTGATTGATCAGTTATGATCACACCAAAATATTTTATGACAACCGAGTGAGAATGTTATAGTTTAATATTCAACCCAGAGTTCTTAACATGAACAGCATACCAAATGATTGGAACTGACTGGAGCTCAGGTTAGGTTGACTACATCGAGATGTGGTGCTCATGGCAGCTCCTGGCGCTGATCCGACAGAGTGCCTAAAGTGCTCGCTGCTGTTGCTACTGCTGTAAAAAAAAAACATGGAAACTTGTACATTTCGAAACAGTTTACAAGTAATAAACATTTACAAAAGGTCATCTAGTCCAGTGGTATTCAACCTGGGGTACGCGAAGACATCTTAGGGGGTACGTGAAATTTAAAAGAAATATTATTTTATGATAAGCACTGAATAATCAGGGCCAGATTTAATACATTATTTTGGATGTAATTTATTTAATTTATTTTAGATATAGATTATACACTATGTATAACTTGAATTATACACCAACAACTTTGGGGTACAAAGTTGAAGAGAAATTATATCTGGGGGTACACGAACAAAAAAGGTTGAATACCACTGATCTAGTCTATCTTCTGAGGCTCATATATGAACAGCTTGGGAGATTACTAGTATTCAGCAGCCTAGTTTGATGTGGGTCTTCCGCTATAAGGCCTTCGAAATTACATGTCTTTCAGCTTCAACCTTTCTGATAAGGTTAAATCTACCAGTGGCCAAGCTGCTGCTGGCATACTTCTCACTTTTATCAGATTGCACCAAACACACTGGAAACAAAATTTTTGAAATGAGTACATGCCTATTCTGTACAGACAAGAATATAAACAATCTTAAGGAGGAAAGCAATAATTCTTATCACTGATACTATGAAGAAGATTATTTAAGTGCCTTAATATACGTATTTATGGGATATCTTGTTCAACAAGGGTGTCATGGGGCTCAGGTTCTCAGCACCCTTTGAACTTCCTTTACCTTCATTTTTACTTTTTAACAATTTCCCCATAATTATTTTTAATCAACATTTGCAGGTACTCATTTAGACCTCAAAAAATAATTTGCTGAATGATCACAGTTTCCCACGATGCTTCCAAACTCTGCATTTTTGGTTGGCAGTGAAGATTGTCAAGTTGTGTGTGGTTACTTTTGTTTTGACTGAAGAAATTCTTGAAATTCAAGAGTATCGGAGGTGCATGAACACACTCTAGTTCCACTCTGCTTATTTTCTGTGTTTTTGGTACTGACACTTTGTCATTGGATGCATTTTGAATCCTGATCAACCCCTGAAATTTTGAAAAGTCAGCTCCAGCACCCACGGCTCCAAGCACAAATTCACAGTACCTGGAATCATTAGTGCTGCTAGAAGAGGAGCCACTTGTCCTGTTAGGACTGGTATGCAGATCTGGCAGAGACTTATGGTGAACTCTGCAGATATTACTTGGACTTGCACATGAAACCGTAGTCTGCACCTGAGAAACGCTACATCCATATGGGCGTGGTACGGCAAATGGCCGCTCATCTCCTGCCACCTAAAGAAGCAGAAATTTTTTTTTAGATGTGTAAACAAATGCAGTGTTACAAATACCTCCTTCCACATAAGAAATAAGAATTAATACCAGAGCATATGGTAAACATCTTCATCTTTTGCAGGCAATGAAGAGTCCATGTTTCAGGTAACTGGTTCTCTTCTGCCGTCACATATCTGGCCTTCTGATCCTGGATACATCCACGATCCTTCACACAGAAACTTGTCTCAAAGTTGCCCATCTATGCCTGAGATTAATGTTGTTAGGCCAATGCCACGGAAGTTCATTATTCTTTCTCTCACATCAAAACATTTACTTTGCAGTGAGTCAATCAAGTTGTCCCCCAGAACATTTTTGCATTTATTTGCAGGTATTACATAACGCACAAGTCATTACAAAATGTAAAGTCAGTTTTCCTGAACAAATACACTTTTCCAACTCATAAATGACAAGCTATATACTTACTGTCTTCACATCCTGATCGTCGCTATCCCACAGTCGTCGATACAAGTTCTCTTTAGAGTCAGCATTGAGCAAACGGCGAAGTTTGGTCTGAAGCTGGTCTCCACTAGGATTTGAACCTGAGCGCCTCTGTGCAGCTGGCACAAGGCGCGGGGATTTAGGAGGAAGAGGGGGTGGAGTAGGTTGCTGATAAGCAAACTGCAATGGGTTTGGGCGTGGTGGTAATGTTGGTGGAGGACTCAGAAGCAACACATGTTGATGCAGATCTGAAAACAGATATAATAAAATCTCAAATTATAATTCAGACCAGAAATATAATAAACCATTTGTTTAAGAGATTTCAGATTAAACAGACACCATGTGGCATTACCAAAATAAGGCAGCAGGCATTTTTGGTTTTAACAGGCTTTGTCTGTTAAATCGAAAACGTCTAACAATCTCCCCCCCCCCACCTCTTTACATTGCAGAGTTTTAACAAACCCTGTGTCTGTGTAGGTGTCCTGTTCAATCCTGTGGAATTTAATGTTACAACTGACATGTATGCCGGATTGTTTTAAAAATTATACATGACATATTTTTCATAAAAAAAATATTTTTTAATTAAAATAATATGAGAGAGAGAGAGAACGGCACACACCACAAGATATTCCTCCTAATTTACATACTATATCCTGAATCAGCAGTCTTTTTTAGGGATAGTTGGATAATTAGTATTAAAGTTGCTACAGTTCTACAATGTGCCTGAAACCCCTCCAATCATTTTTCTAAATATATTACGTCTTTACTTTCAGCAGTCACTGGTTCAATATACAACATATACAATGGAACTGTAAATTCTCTTATAATTCGGGAATAGAAAACTATTGATTAAACCCCATCATAAGAGGAACCTTAAAGTCTTTCCTTACACACATCATGCAATTTTGAGAATCAAATACAAAGGTTCAACAAAATATTAAAATACTTTGTAATATACGTAACTCACATTTTCCACTGTCCTGTTCAAGCCTGCTACCGGGATCTCGGTTTTGAACATTGTTGACCCACGTTGGACCAGATGACTTTTTTAGCAACGGACCTCGTAAAAACACTGTGTCCACAGCTGAGGAAGTCACTTGAAGATGTCCACTGTTTTTCAGTTCCTGCTTTCGATCCAAAACTGTCTCGGATTTCACATAGAACGCTTTCGACTCCTGCAGCAGCTCCACGGCACTCTTCCGTTTCGCTGTAAAAATGAAAACACACAGTTCTTAAGTTTTTACACACGATCATACCAACGACACAGTTGCCTAAGTCCTGAGGTGAAATAATGATGACACCACTGCAAATTATCCTCTGCACGTGCTCATCATCAATCTAACCTAACCCAATCTTACCAAAACCTACCTCTTCACAGGGATGCTCCTCTGGACGAATTTAATAACTTAAATTAATTAAGTTTCGTATTAATACTATGCTATAGGTAATAAATGCTCTTCTGTGCATGTGCATCACAAAACTTACATACATAATTTACCGTGATTCTGACTTTCAGATTTTTGAGACTGGGGCATTTTCTTGAACAGATGTAGTCCCTAATGCGAATAGATATCAGGAAATATAGCTAGCCAAGGAAACCATCCCACTCTCCCAATCTGTAAATTTTTTGGAAAATTTATGTTCAAGCTTTTATGAACAATGAAACAAAAATTTCGGAATGCATAAAATAATTTGACTATATGACTATGGAGGGGAAACATGAATTTGGGAGTTTGGGAAAATATGCAGTTCATTTCATTCCCATTTGTCAAGCAGTTAAAATGTAATTCAAGTTTAAAATTTTGTCAGTCTTTACATCTATCTTCCTGAAGTTGAAAAATTAACATCTAATGAATGTGAACTTCTACTCATTACTCATATATAATCAGATATTACTATGCAATATCAACTGATTTTTCTCTCTCTCTCTCTCTCTCTCTCTCTCTCCTCGTGGTACTCAGAATTCACATTGCAGATTCCACCTGGAACGACTGAAGAAAACTAGGGTCTCAGTAAGAATAAACGGTGATTCGAGATTCGAACCGAGTCCCTCCCGAATATAAGGATTCGAGTTACAACTCTGCTAATTTCTTCAATCTGAAGTAGCCATATAAGGGACTCGGCCCGTTGTTTGATAACCCATTTCTAAAGTATCTGTTTTACGTACCCTATATAAACACACAGATGTTAGGGCATTGCCATAAAGTTTCCTCTGCCGCAGAGAGCGAGTTGCATGACTTCTGTATGAAAACATGTCACAAGCCATAAAAGAGAAATGTGTGATGAAGTATGACGTCTGATGTTAAACAAGTGGTTAATGCCAATTTTATGGCACGATCCGAACATATACTATCTGAGATACGAGCACAGGATATCAATGTCTCCGCTTTGTGTGGAGTTTCGTTTTACGATTTCTAACATGACAGGAGTTGTGCATATCAGTTGCGAGCTGTGTTTTTAGAACAGAAACTTCTGGCGAAACATAATGAAAATCGATCTACAGTCTTGGCATATTCCGTGAATCCTATCTACAAAATGACATGTAAGGAGTTCCAACAGAAATTTGTTTTACACAAATACGCTCAAGAACAAAATTGAACGAAATTTCAATTTCTAATATTCAATATAGGCCCATAGATGGCATTAAGCCATTTACAGTGTTTTCAATAACTATTATGCGAGTGCAGTAAGAGTATATTAGCACATCTGAACAGCGTGTCATCTGTGGATTCCGTGCACTTTAGAAATGTGTTACCCTACGGTCGTTTAAGTTTGGAGTCACATATCAACGAGGTCAATTAATGTGACCCCAAACACTGGCATTGGACAATGACGACGCAATACACAGTGTTGAAATAACTCACAATTATTCCATCAATTCCACACCCGAGGCCAGAATCTAAATGTTACTTCACTTAACAATAAAACTATTGACACAAGCTCACTTCTTGTCCTGTAGCAATGCATGACTGTCACTAAGAAGATCACGTAGTGTGTTTTCTGCCTCCATTATCAGGGCGATGATCGTCCTGATGATAGAAGCAGCAAGCACTTCTGAAACATCGACAACCTTCTATCAGACTACATAACGGAAAAAACAGTCATCTTCATATTCGCCGCCGTGAGAACCTGAAACCTCACTAAACAGCCTGAAAGTTGTATCAGGCGACGAAACTCTTCCGGTGGAGTTCACTTTACTTGTTCCCCTGAAGATCATGCATATAATTAAGGTACAGCTGGGTGGAATCCACAGGCAGCGAACACTTTTAGAATAGAGTTAACATTTACCTCAAACCTCACACCTCACCTATAGCTGCTTTGAATGAAATCGACCTAAGCCCACCAACTAACTAGCTTCGGCCGCTCGAGGTACCGTGTACGTACGTGATGAAAACTTGTCACAACCATGTTCCCAGATGACCAGCTACAGAGGAGGAAGGCCTCTTGGGACCCCTGCAAAATTTCCCACCCTCAAGTTTCATCACTCACAAGTTTTCGTAACTACAGAGGAGGAAGGCCTCTTGGGACCACTGCAAAATTTCCCACTCTTAAGTTTCATCACTCACAAGTTTTCGTAGGACTTCATTTCAGAAGTGAGTGCAGCCCAGAAATTTAGCACAGAGTTTGCGTATGTTCAGTCAAATAGTAGGTAATGTTTTCGGCGACCAAAGTTATATCTCGGAGAAGATTCTGAGTTCAGAGAAAATTACGGAGTAAAGTAAAACATCAAGAATCGTTGTCTTTTATCAAAATATGCACTTTATCTTTTCATTTCTCTCGCGGACCAGTTGAAACGTTGAATTAACATCACACTCTAAGATTCCCATGTGGAAGATCGCGAGCAGCAGTGAAGTTTTATTCTAGCCTAATAAGACGCAAAACTGTAAATCCATAAAGCTCATTATGCTTGTTTTGAAGACAACATCTTCCATGAATAACGGTGAAGCAAGCAAAATTCGTGCAAGGAGGATCACGTTTCTTTTCAGTTAAAACTACCCTCGTTTTACGGTGATTATAAACAGGTATTGGTAACAGGAAGACGTAGAAAATTATACAACGTGGAACTTCACACGTTACATTGTACTGTTCACAAAATATTATAATAGTGGTTAAATCAATGAGAACGGAAAGGAAGCGAAATCCGTCACATTTGAGGGACAGGAGAAATGCAAACATAATTTTAGCCAGAAAACCTCAAGGGGAAGAGACCACTTGGAATATTTAGATGTAGATGTGAATATTATATTAAAATTTATCTCGACTCATGTTTGGGGACTCCTGAAACACAAATTACCAACATTATATATACCTTAGGTTTACTGCACAACGCTGTTCATGTTTCCTACTTCTTCTACATCGAGAAAATGTTGTAGGTCCGAAAAAAAAATTAATGTAGGATACAACCAAATAAGGACAGAGATTCCACTGTCAATCAAATGATCAACATGATGACTAAAGTCGTAATGGCATTCACCAAGTTTAATCTCAATCAATCGAGTTGTTATGGTGAAGTTTACATGCATTGACTGATGTAATCATAGTTATTTATCTCCAGGTTCTATAACGAGTCCTGCAGTTTAGTGTTCTGTTGGCATTCAGTTACTACCTAACGACGATTCTGTCATTACAAGACACATAAATCCTAATCAATAATATTAATTTAATCTGAAGAAAGTAAACACACGTATCGTAGCTATTTTGCTAGCCGCGAAACACGTTCTTTTGGGTTTTCTAACTAGAACTGTAGTGGTACTAACGTCACAGACGGAGTTCAAAACTATTGGCAGGAGCGTCGATAAGGGAAAATATTCCCCAAAGATCGAAGAAGTAGATTATTGTACGCACCCTGGACTTTCAATTAAATGCCAGAATAGTAAGAGAATCCAGATACCTTATTCATAAAAATTATTACTAGTGATACGGAGACTACTATGTATAGGAAACAAACAAAAAAGAACTCTGAAATGCGTAGATTATTCCACGCGCGAATTAACACACAGCTGAGGTAAGCTGAATAATAACTGTGTTGTTAGGAAGATGGAAAGAATGTAAGAGAATTTCAACGTCTGCCTGGCTACTCAGCAATATTCTTTAAACTGCAAATTCGATATATTAACCTGCTTCATCAAGCACTGTAATAAGTCACATAAATTTTAAACACGCATAAGCATTCATCAAGCACTGTAATAAGTCACATACATTTACCGACAACAATTTTAAACACGCATAAGCATCTGTTGTTTTTTTAAAGAAAAGAATAATAGATACTTTCACTGAACGGCAAAGATAATTATGTAGAAGTAAATACCATCACCCATTCAACTCTATGGCGCAGGATAGGTACAAATAAATATCCTATGGAGGCAATAAACTTTCGGGTTCCAAAATAGGAGAGTAATTTCTTGAACAGATGACCGACTGTCAGCTTGTCATAAGACTCTGTTCCATGGAACATTATAGGCCTATAACGATGACGGCGCCCAGATTCTAGTCAGAAATAACATTTATCGGAGGATTTAAGTTAGGAGGTACGAAGCAATGATTATATCTGACCTCCTGTCCGCAAATACAATTCAGGTAAACTTCTACGATGATAAAATACTTTAATCCAATATCTTCGAGGAACACTGCGAAGTTCGTTTATCTCTCGGTTTCGCCAGCGATGTCTACGTAGTCACAGCATTCCTTCACGAGAAATAAATCATCCCGTTATGTGGAACAGAAGGGCTTTGATTTAATTTCCTGCTTGCGTAATACGGATGCTCAATCTGAACTACAGCGGGGATTTCAGAAGGCCTTGGCCATTATTTGTACCCACGAGAATACAGGGGTGAAGAGGACGAATAGCGCTGGATCGATTGTTCCAGCTTGCGCCGATATCTCATTTTACTCTTTCAACTATTTCTCATCGATATCGTTCGGCCTATGGAAATGGAATACTATGGCCGGTAACGATCGCATGAATTATGTCAACAGCGCGTGGCAAATAAAAATGACAACAAAATAACAATAGGATGTCACATTGACGCTAAAAGCACAGACAAATTATAATGAAAAGCCATTTTTTGAACAAATTAACTGTACCCGAAACAGACTTCAGTAATAGCAGCTTTCGAAGTGAGTATGTGAAATTTCGTCTTTCACAACCTCATACTAAAGAAGATTACTGTCGGTTTAAGACCGCCCGTACACGGCTTCGAATCTAGG